AACGACTGGCCGGGAAAATCGGATTGCCGGAAGCCAGAATACAGGTATACATATATATATATATATATATATATATACCCTTTTCCACATAAACATTATTATTTTTCATTTTTTCCCCCCTTCTTTTTTTTTTCCGCGGGCGAATATAAAAGGGTCGGAAAATATACGCGCCGAGGGTTTAAAGTTTATACGGGAAAACTCGAAGAATTTCTCGTATTGAACAACATCAAAGTTTTCGGTACAAAGACCCGCGCAACGCCGCACAGAAAGTATAAATGCCTCACGTGCACGTATACCGCGGATCGGTATGTTTATATTAGGTACCCAACAGTATTCTAATATAATATTGTGTACACGCATATATGTTGCATGTATTACACGTCGTACCGGATCGTATACACAAAGTTTGACGAAATGTTTAAACGTCGAGTTATTAATCCGCTGGCTGTACTATGTACCCATAGGTATTTTGGTGTTGTTCCTGCGGGGTTCCGCCCGATTTACGTAGGCGCCATGCCTAAATGGTTACGTACCGGCATCCCTAATAGAACGTACAATTACAATAACTTTATCGTACGTTTGGGTGTCCGGGGATTCGGGTAATATAGCGTCTTAGGTACAACGGTTGTGCCTTGAAAGTATACATAAAAAACGTTCCATTTATACGATGGCGTAACCGGGATTTGTCGATGGGGAGGGTGGGCTGAACTGAAAAAAAAAAAAAAAACAAACAAACAAAAAGGTTCGCGAAATGCGCGAATAAGCACTGCAATTATTTGTACTCAGTCGAATAAGTGTGTAGCGCGAATATGCGATGGTTGTTATTTGTATTATTTTATTGGTACAATAATTTTCCAGCGTTGGATAGTTTATATTTGACACAACTGATGGAGGGGCCCAAAAGACACCTTATCCTCTCCCTCTGCCACCTACGCCACCGACTGTTTTAGCTACCTACCTAGCTGCGCATACCTAATATACGAACACGACGGTTTACAGGTATGGTTTTCGAATCGCCGTGCCAAATGGCGACGGGAAGAAAAACTGCGCACCCAACGCCGCCCGAACTCCAACCAGAATCAATCGATGGATCCGCAAAATCAACAACAGCAGCAGCAGCAGCAGCAACAGCAGCAACAGCAACAACAACAACAACAATCACCGAACAGAATGAACGGATTCGCCAACAACCCGGACACCAATCCCAACAATATGTACACGACCATCGGTAATCACGATACCTTCAGGTATGAACCTTTTCCTATGTTATTAGACAGCATTTACGCGCGTGTATTATTTTCGAAAACGTTCGACGTATTTCTCACGCATATTTTATTGCCGGCAATTCGAGCGTACCTTTGTTAATGTCCACCAACAGTCTACGATGACTTTTATTGGACGCGCGCAAATCTGGGTACCTGTAGGTGACCTTTTTGCACTCAAATCGCCTCGAGGCGTTTTTCGAGGCGATTCGAGCGGATACAGTCTCTCGACCGTTTTTGGTATTCTCGAATTTCAATCGCGTCCGGTTTTAACAGATGTGCATTCGATTGTGTCCTAAACGAAAAATCGAGAATTTTGTTTACCAGACAGAACGCGATTGTAGGTACACTCACGTGAAATACGCACATTTAACTCTAAACGAGTGCGGTTCGATTATTACCATTTAACACTTCGTAATATCAAATTGATTTTTTAACTGTAGCGCCTTGGACGTAAAATTCACAAACGAAATAACAATAATAATCTTTGATTAATATTTAGATACGACGTGTGAAAAAAAAAAAGAATTAAATTTCGCATGAAAACTTTCGCAAGTGTTTGTGTACGCCGTATACTACTGCTTATTTTGGCCCACATTTCAGATGGGAAATATTGATTTGAATCAATACTTGTCAGTTAAATAGTCAATAAATTGTCTTAGATGTTCATTCATAAGAGTTGAATGGAAGCTGACTCGTTAGCATAAACTTCTCCAACCGTATCATGATTTAACTAAGGAAATCCGAAAATGTATGTTAAAAATTGTCCTACTTCATACTAGATTTATTTTCGTACTCCGATGATAATCCTAATACTTGGATTTTACGCCACCATGACTGGCCTAAATAGAAACCACAACGTTGTATTTTTATTGATATCCTAACTATTTGAATTGCTTTATGGATTGAACATTCAAAGTCAACGAAATCCAATATTGTAAAAACCTGTTCACGTTTACTATAGGACCGTACGCTATAAAGGTTGAATATTTAACTGTACATCATAAGTTACACTAGTTTTTCAAATTAAGAGATTAACCTTGTCGAACGCGCTAAAAATTAGAAATCGTAATAAATATCACTAGTTCGACAGTTGTGTTAGCGCAACCATTGCATAATATCGACTAAATAATGTATAATAATCGATATACGAAACCATTATCGATTCCAGTACAAGAGGACGGAAATGGTAAAACGGAAGTCCATTAGTTTTTTTGCTATTTTTGAGTAACCTTTAGAAGAAAAAAAAAAATCGTGTCCACATTTATAAAGTGAAAACGTTTCGATTAGGCAGACGATCATTTAATTTTTTTTTTTTGAGATCGTTTTGAAGGGAAACGATTTCTTCACGAATAGACGTAAAAGATTTTTTTTTTTTTTTTTTAATTTTCCGCCGCGTTTATAGTATTTTTTTCGAATAAAAAAAAAAAATACCATATATAATATACAAAATAGAAAAAAAAAAAAAAACGAGTTGATTTCCTGTTGACGCTAACTTTTATGTATAAATAATAAATGGAAAAAACTTACTCGGATGCGCGCATATTTCACGGAATAACTTTAAAGCGTTTTATATACGTATACATACCTAATAATAATATTGTCTTGAGAAATTTTCGGAAAGTTTTCAGTAATCCGCGAAAATAAAAATAAAAGTATTATAACAACTTTGAATGGAAATGTTGTTGTTTTAAACTATTCCGTTAGTTTTATAATAATAATTATTATTGTTTATAATAGTTTCCGCATACGCAAATATTTCCTTTTGTGATGGTGCTTTGAATATACGATAATATATTTTCATTGTTGCAGAGAAAACGCAATGAAAAATTCGCTAAAGTTCAAACCGAGGTTATTAAGATAAACGCTTTCGAGAACCGATATTATTATAATTTGTTCCGCGCAATATTATAATTAATTTTTCCGCGGTTTGTTTCGGATATTATCGTTTACCTACTCATGCATATTTTCCCATAATTAATAAACTGAAACCGAATCGGAAGCGGCTTTTCGGGAACAATAGTATAATACCTATATATAATAACCGGATATAATTTTATAGACGAGAAAATACACGGAATTTCAATTTTCGCGCGCGTCTTTCTTTTAATCTACAAAAACGGTTCAACGCGTGTTGTTTCGAAATAATATTAAAAACAAATTCAAAAACCCCCCCTTCCCCCAACATTCTTCGCACTGTGGATGCAGCACTGTTATAGTCGAGCAGTAGGGAAATTTTTCGCACGTATAGGTAAAGTAATTCAATAAACATGATTGTACGCAGGTTCAAAAAACGATTCTGAGCAAAGTCCATTGAAAACGGTATTTTGATAAACTTAAATTGAAAATTGTATCGATAAAGTTATATAGGCGAATAAATTCGTAAATTGCCGCGATTTTTATCATAATTTGATCGCGTATATATAACGCACTTCAAACGCATATAAAAATAATAAAACGTCATAACGGGTTTTCGATATTTGTGTAGTTAAAATGATTTTGTACTACCTCTCAAAACGGCTTGTACACCAGAATTCGATGGAAATTTCAGGTCTCTAAGATTATTTCGAACTGAACTGTAACAAAAAGAAGAAAATCAAAAATGACCCCGTTTAGACTAAACGAAATTCGGAACCACGAACCGGCTCCGCGATTCCAGAAGTCCCGAGTCAAGATTCCCGGTAGAGTTATTGTTAACAAACAGCGTAAAAAACCCATAGCATAAACTAAGATCAACACTTACGCCATTTTTCGTTAGGTACGCTCAGAATTCAATGCGAATATGATGGCATTATCGGTTCTTGTACACGGGCGCCCATAGGTAATTTTCAAGGGAATGGACAAAGTGGAACCAGGACTCCCGGTACGCGTGTAATGACTAAACATATAGACAGATATGCTGAACTGTACAAAAAGCTTAATCGTGTTCTAGAGTTATGATAGATCCATTCACGGGAGGATGAATCGATAATCGTCAAGGTCGTGGGACGTGCGTCAATAGGCTCAACAAAAGCAATTTTTCGAGGGTTTTAATATTTTCCAGAAGGGCGACATTTCCTCCTTTTGACCACCTCCCCCCATTTGGGCGCCCGTGGTATTATTGTAGGCTGACCCGACTTATACCGGACACATCCCGCCGAATCATACCTGCGACCCGTGTAATTTACACAATATTTTGTTTCGCGTGCAGCCCGATGTCAATGAATTTCGGCATGCCCGGCGGCAACGAGAACGGCCTGTCTTTACCCATCATGGCTGGTCATCACGCCATGTCCGGCGCGGCCGGCGGGAGCGACCACCGAGACGCGTACGGCTGCATGTCCAGGCCCACGTACGACACGTCGCCGCCGCTGGCCATCGGCACGCCCGGCTACCTGCGGCCGCCGGTGTCGCCCACGTCCAACGGCAGCAGCCCGCCGGCACACCACGCGGCAGCCGCCGCTGCGGCCGCCGCAGCAGCGTACCATCACCATCCGCCGCCCATCAACGGACACCATCCTCACCACCACGCGCATCACCAGTACAACATGAACAGCTCAAATTCTACAGGTATATAACCGTTGTTGCAATGCATTATAAATTATTGTACGGTATTGTCCATTGTCTTTTGCATTCGATATTTCACTAATCTTCCGTCAACCCGCGAACGGAACGAACGTTAGTTTCAGACTATACCGTATTTACTGGCGAATAAAAAATAACGCATCTCAATAACATTCTTGTTGTTTTTTGCACGACACAGGTCTCATATCGCCCGGCGTTTCCGTGCCTATCGCGGTGCCGGGACACACGGCGGACCTGTCCTCGCAGTATTGGCCCCGCTTGCAGTGACATCATCAACTTGTCAAGTAACGACGACAGCGACAGTCACGAGCCGGCGACAACGTTATTGTTGTACTGATTGTTATGCATATTGACGTAAACCGCGTAGTAGTATAACAACAACAACAACAACAATAACAATGATATCGGGAAGGAGGATGAACTATTTTTTAAAAGATATTATAACGATTATATACGTTTTGGCAGTTCGTATGAATGTATCACCCGTGGTCTTGTAAATTATTATTAATACTTGTAATAATCGCGTAATATTATTAATTATTAATTATTATTATTATTATTATTATTATTAATTATTGTTATCGTCATCGTTGTGTAGATAAAAAATCGTACCTACGTATAATGTTATTGTGCTGTTTAACAATAATATTCGAATACCGACTACTGTTTAAAAATTGTAACGATATTATATTATATTGTAAATGTATCAACGCTATGATAATAATGATAATATATTGCCTGAAATGTACGGGAAAAAAAAAAAAATAATAAAAAAAAATATTAATAAATACGAAACCAACTCAGATAAATGTCGAATTAACATTATGTTTTATGTATATAATAATAATAATAATAAGAAAAAAAAAAAAAAAACCAAAAATTGTTACGTGATGTAAACGTGTACCTATTTGCAAAATGCGAAAATGTAAACTATAATACAATATATTTCACTGTTTTACGTGTAAACCGCGTTCGTTACATTAAAATACACAATAGCATACCGAAAAACAATACGAGAAAAACATTATTCAGTACCGCCGCCGTTGACAGCACGCGTACCGGTCTCATACGATATGATTAGAGTGTGGTGTTTTATATATACGACGCGCGGCGGTCTCCGCGAAATTACTGTCGGCTACCGCTTACGACTTGCAGAACGCCGCCTGGTTCTTGAACGTGAACACTTGCACCTCGTCCGTGCCGCCACAGGCCGACGAGTCGATATCGTGACAGCCCTTCATGTGTTCGGTCATGTTTGACTTGGTCCGGAACAATTTGCCGCACACAGAACACTCGAAAGGCTTTTCGCGGGTGTGCACGCGCTCGTGGTTCAACATGGCCGTGTACGTCCGGAACGGTTTCGCGCAGTACGTGCACCGGAACCGCTCGACCACGGCGCCGGTGTCGTGGTGCGTGGCCGGCAACTTGGTGTCGCTCTTCATCAGCCACAGGCTGTTGTTATGCACGCGCTTGTGCTCCAGCAGGTTCCCCTTGGTCCGGAATACTTTGGGGCAAGCGTCGCAACCAAACGGCTTCTCTCTGGTGTGCACCCGCTTGTGGTTCTCCAAGGTGACGGCCGAGCGGAATTGCTTGTTGCAGTACGGACATTGCCGATGCCGGTGGTCCGCCGTCGGCCGTTTGGCCGCGTTGACGACCGCACCTACCGCCGCCGCCGCCGCCGCATTCGAACAACAGTTGTTGCTTATGTGCGCGGACAGTAACGACTTGGACGTGAAGTTTTTGTTACACTGTTCGCATGTAAACGTCATCACGGCGTTGACCGAGGCCTGTAGCATTTCTTCCGGAGTCTGCAACAGTAGCGTTTGCTGTTGACGTAGTTCATCATCGTCGTGAGTGCGTTCGTGTGCAGACAACGCGTCCAACGACGTAAAGACCTTAGAACAATAGCTGCACGTCAGCATGTCTTCCGACGTGACAGTCACCCGAGTTATCGACGGGATGTCCCTGCTTGATGTCTTCATCCAACGCAGTTCCGGATTATGAACTCTGCAAAATAATAATAATAACGATAAATCTATCTATTACCGTATACGATTTTTACGTATCACGAAGAAAACCGACAAATCTGTACTAGGATAACGGAGTCGGGTGTAGTCACTGTTATAGACGAGTAATTCAATGTATACCCGTAAGCAACGATAAGCCATTGCTAACGAAAAAACGATTCTGAACAGAGTTCAGTTGATAGTAATGCTTTGTCAACAATATATAATATTTCATATTATGGTAAAATAATTAAATAAGGATTGTGTATATTTTTTAACAATATTTGTTTAATGTTGTACCGATTTTCCCATATTTTTCCCAATTGTTGAGGAAAATCCTGATTAAATCAAAAAATGATCCCTCTAAAGTACCTCCCCAGTCGGATTTCCGTTTAGAAAAAGTGTAATATCATTGTAAATCGGAGCGAAATTGCTGATAGAAAAATTGTTCACAGAAAAGAAAAAATTCGTAATATTTCATTAATATATGTTGAACATTTCCCCGTTTTATTTCAGTTTTACATGTTTAATGAAAAAACTCTTAAGAAAATCGAAAAATGACCGGCTTAGAGTACCTGCCAACATCGATTTCCTTTCAGAAAAGGTACTACATTTAAAAATCGGAGTAAGATTTCGTGTAGAAATTTACAGTTACAAAATAAAATAAATATCTTTGTAAAACCATAAGCTTCTTCGTTCCACTCAGAATCTAAAATAGTGCGTGACTTTGAAAATTCATAAACATCATGTACCTATAATCTAACATTTGGTATTATTATTACTACTGTAACACTAAGGCCCATTCTCACAAACGTAAACGTTGATTTTTAGACTGAGTTTGTAGGATAATCGACTAATTGTGGGCGGTTATCAGCCATAAACTCAGTTTAAGAATCAGATAAACGCCTTTTTTCACGTTGGTGAGAACGGCCTTAAGTTCTTAATTATTTTTAAAAAGTAAATAAAAAAAAAAGGTACGGGAATAGTTATTTAATTTATATCTGTACGCAATGATAAACCATAATGCATTGCCAACGAAAAACGGCTTGGAGAGTTCAGTAAGACATATTTTGAAATGCCATAATTTTTACGATTTTTCACAAAATTTGAGCTTAAAACATTTATATGTATAAAACAAAATTATTATTTTACAGTAAAGCAAAAGTAAGGCATATATTGAACCACTATCTTTTAACTAACCGAATAATAACGAAAACACCAAATGCCATATATTTCCCGTATTTCCTACGTTATATCCTGGAATTTCGTAATTATTAGGAAAACTAATACATACAATTAAACAACGACTTTCTTACTCACAAACTATAGAACACATTTTCTTTCAGAAAATATCTTATTCTTGAAATTTGAACAAAAATTTCTGGTAGAAAAATGTAATATTAACAATTTTAAATAATGAAATCGTTGCGCCGTGGTTAAAATTGTATTTTTCGTAATTTTAGGTTTTTCCCAATTATTATGATAATTACTTTAGATATTAATAAATGAATTTCTCTGTCAGTGGGTAGATATTAAATGGAATAAAATAGATATCGTGTCATTTTTCAATTGGTGCAATGTTTCTGGTAGAAAAACATAGTTCGAAAGACTTAACAATAAAATCTGTAACGCCGCGACGCGGTATATCATATACATCATATAATTTGCTGTTTTTTCGATACATTTTTTTCTGTTTTTTTCCAATTATCCCATGGAAAATTAAAAAATTACCTTCTCAACGCTTCAATCAGATAAAATTACTTTGTAGAAGAGGTACTGTACTTAATACTTCGGAGCACAATTTTCGGTAAGAAAAGTTTTTCACAGACACAAAAAAAACACATAAAGTAAAAACAAATTAAAGTTTAGAAACTTGAATTGCATTTATAATACGAGAACACTAAACCAACATTAACTATCCTAGTAAATACTGCTCAATAATGTACGAAAATTACTTAAAACGTAAATTGTTGCGTTTAAGTAGAAATTAGAGTAGGTATATAGGTAAACAAATTTAAAGAAGAGATAATTTTCGAGGACACTAAGTCAATTTCTTTTCTTTTAAAAATAATAAAAAAAAGTTACAGACATGTTAATTATTGCTTCTTTTAAATATCTATAACTTGTATGTGGGTATGATAATTTTTTTCAAGAAAAACCATGTATCTATAGTGCTCTGAAATATTTTTCTTTTAAATTAAGTTATTTGTGTTTAAATTATAATTTTAACTGTAACGCGTCGCAATTAATGTTGTAATACAATTTTGATATGAATTCCAGGGCTTAAATTTGGAAAATATTTATTTTAACGTTTAATATTGTACGTATTTTAATTTAAAAGCTTATACAACGTTTACGTTTAACGTCATTTAAAATTAAAACGTTATCAATAATTTTTTAAATGTGCCGTTATTGGCAGTTTAAACGATTTTAGATTCTGAGTGAAGCGAGGTATATGTATTGGTATTACAATGATCTAATGTACACAATAATATAATACAATGATCCGTGAACCACTTTTCTGCCAAAAATTTTACTCCGATTTTCAAGTGTCACACTTTTTCTGAAAGTTTTTTGATTTTCCCAGGATTTTTCTAAATCAACGGGAAAATGTGCGAAATGTATTTTTATCAAATCGTAAATATTACGGCCTTCCAAAACATGTATAATCGAACTCCACTCAGAATCGTTTTTCATTAGCAATGATTAAATTTCCACTTTAACTTCTGAACTTCTCATGTACAACAGTAGCCCACCACTTGTTTTTAAAATTTAATGTTATTGGAAATTAAAACATTGAATATTAAACAATTCACTTTTTACTATTTTAATATCTATAGATAGGTCTATTTATCATATTAGATTCCAGATTTACTACCTATTAAAAATTGTCTTTCGTCTATTGTGCTATGTACCTAATAATATAGTATACTATTGAATGCTATTATTTTAATGATAATATAATCGTGTAGAAACTATAAAATGTAAATGTTTATTGTGTAAACAACACACGTAATAATTATAAAAATTGATGATAATATTTTATTATTGCTTATTGTTTTAATATTTTTAACTTATTGGTTTAGCATTTTGTTTAGTTATAATTTAATATTACTATTTTCTGTTTTCTACTTATTTCAACTGTTTTAATTAATTAATTAGTTGTATATTGACTTCCATCAATAATTAAATAGAATTATAGAGAATAGTGTAAAACTGACCGATAATGTTCATTTAAATTGGATTTAGTCTTGAAGAACTTTTCGCAAACACTGCAACCATAAGGACGTTCTCCGGTATGAGAACGCATATGATTTCCAAGTGTGTATGCAGACAACAGTTCTTTACCGCAGACGGTACACTGATAATCACTACTGTTTGTCTCCAATATTTCTGCATCTGCAGTTATTTGCATTACTTCTTCCATAGTTCCTTCTGTTTGAACAATACAGTGTGATAATTCAATTTCATTTTCGATTTGTTGATCATCGTCAACGGGGTCTGGATCGTCAATTAGCTGCTCTTCAAACTGATCCGATTCAACTAATAATATGTCTTTATTTTCAATTACTTCAGGAGTATAATTTTCTGATTCCTAAAATGAAATTTATATAATTTATATAATAAATAATTAATATGTTAAAAAATAAATAAAAATATTATTACAAAAAATATAAAGTAAAATAGCTAGGTATACTATAATATTATAATATACATTTTTAACTTTAATTATAGATTTAGAACTAACTTTTTAGCTAGCAAAATTTCATAATCACAATACTGAATCAATAAAAATGAAAAATTTTAAATTAAAAATACAGATAGAATATTTAATATTATAAAAAAAACAAACACAAATATCAAATAATAATTAATATTATAGGTATGATTAAAAATAAATAACTTTGAATTAAAAAACGATTAGATATTGGTAAATTGGTAGAAATGGAAAATAAAAAAATCCATGTTATACTATATTATACAATTACTAAATAACGCAGATATTACAGTTTGATTATTAATTAGGTAAATATTATTAAACTTATTACTTATTCTTAATTTTATTACATTTAGGATTGCTTTCACAAACGTAAATGATAACATTTAACTAATTTTTAAACTACCTTTAAAGCTGATAATCGACCACAGTATGATTGGTCGGTTTCCAAAACCAAACTAATATGTATGATGTATATATTACAAATATATTATCATATATTTATCCATATTATAGTTATCTAAGTCTTTAAACTATATAATGATTTATAATTATTAAGAAGATTAGAATCCAAAATAAGTTAAGAGAAATTGAAATAATGATTAGCTAGCATTTTTGTTTATCTTTATTTTCAGATAAATTGTTTAAATTTAATATGAAAGTTAATATTGGTAATTCATTTAGTTAAAATCCCAGTTCAAAATTCACAATGAAAATTAATCTTTTAAATAGGATACTTCCTTGCTGTAATAACCAAATTAAATAGTAATAATAATTCTTTTCATTATCTCACCAAGGTAACCCATAAATCAACAAAAAAATTTGATTGTTTCAAAAAACCTGTCAGCCATACTTTAGGGTAGATATGATCACCGATTGAACTGAAAATGAATGGGGACCTTCTATAGAGATTAACTAATTGTTTAATGGAAATTACATTCCAAATTCACAACTATATAAGAGATAAAGTGCACACAAATTCAAAAACTATCAAAAAATAGAGTTTGCTTTAACTTTTATGTGTGTGCTTATGTTTTGAATGAATAGCTTGATGGCGTCGAGTTTTTTGTTTAGACATGAATTTTTTTCCACAGAAAATACAAGCAAATGGCCTTTCACCAGTATGAGTGCGTTCATGAATTGTTTTATGAGCACTTTCAAAAAATCGTTTACCACAAAATGAACACAGAAAATTTCTAACATTATCGTGGTACCTCATATGTCTATTGTATTCAGCTCTAGTATAAAATGTCATTGTACATTTTTCACATTGCACATTTTTAGCAGCATTATGAGTCATTTCATGTCTATCACGGCCATATGGTGTTACAAATGCTCTTCCACAATAAGAACATACATAATTAAAAGTCCCTTCATGTTTATTTTCGTGGCGTACAAGTGTTAAGTACGATTTGAAACATTTTTCACAATGACGACATTTAATTTTTTCACCAGGTGCATGAGTCTTCATATGTATCCAAACTTGTTGAATAGTAGCAAATGCTTCTTCACAAAAATGGCACTGATAAGACATGGATCCAATTTCTAACTTTTTTTCATAATTTCTTAAATGAGATAACATACCAGAAAGTGTTTTAAAAACTTTTTGACATTTATCACATAGGTAACCATCTTCGGTTTCTGTATAAGAAGTTTTTACTTCTAAATTATCAATATTATTTAGTTTTATACAATTTTCACAAAGTTTACTCTGTTCATTTAATAATGAATGATCTAAATTGTAATTATCTAACGCACTTATAATCTCATTACAGGATTTACATTTAATAAGGTCAGAAGAATGTGTTTCAATATGGGACGCAAGTTGTTTAGAAGTTTCAAATATTTCCCCACAATCTTCACATAAACAATTTTTATCATTAATATTTTTTAAAGCTAATTGAAAATTAGTGTTTTCTTTCTTTTCCAGTGAAGTACCGTCATTCCAAATATCCACTACTTCTACAATTTCAACATTACTATCCTGAAACATACACGTAACCAATATCAATTAAATAAAAATAGAAAAAAAAAAAATGAATAGTGAGACATTGGAACAACGGTATTAACTGCTAGTTATTATATACATGCTACCTATTAGTATTTTACAATGTAACAGATAAAAAACTATTTACCAAGGAAGATTTGATTATTTAATAAAAAAATAGATACCTTAGCATCAACTGTAGCTTCATTTCGTAGCCATTCATCTGTAGCTTTACAACGCACTCGAAATTCAACAAATGAATTAACTTGATCAATACATAGTTTGCATACAGAATTGGGTAAAGAGTCTTCCTCAGAGAACTATAAAATAAATAAACATTAGGTTAGGTATATCTACAAATATTACTAGGTACTTACAGAAAGATTTGTAATTTCTTGAATATTTTCTAACATATTCATTTCAAGGAATATATTCTGTAGCGGTTGGTCATTGCGTAAACACAATCGACATATATCATTCCAATTATGAATATAAATTACAGTTTGATTTTCATTATCCATTTTTTATATAGTAATCACTAACTTGAAATTGAAGAAAATATACAAATCACTGATCGATTTTTAAAATATTAAAAATTGTCCAAACAAATTATAGATGTATAAAGAGCATAGACTATATGGAACCTACAGGTTGTAACCTAACCTAACCTTAAACCATAGATATCAAACATCGGACACATGATCCACAGTCAAGACAAAACACGTCAAAAAACAACTAGACATAGTCACGCGATAATGGCAAAGTTATTCACAGATATCAATACTATTATACTATAATATTATATATATATAGTACTAGATACTAGAGTATAATAAAATAGAAATCAGTAGTTGTTAGACAAAACACCAAAAATCAATATAAAACCATCAGCATAATCCGACATAAAGCCACACAATAACATACAATGTAACCAACTTAACCATCTATTGAATTATTGTTTACATATTATTAAGGTTAGGTATTTATATATTATATCATGGAACATGAATTAAGACATATATTATCAGGGCTTTATATACAAATTCGACAACTATCAAACCTCATGTGATTACCATAGACATCGTGGAAAAGCAGCGCTACGTGGTGTTATTATTTTCTCCCAAAAATGGAAGTACACCGAATATAAAATCAGTAAATAGGATGTTTTTTCGTTTATTACGTTTCGCTATCTAACGATCTGCATTGAAACTTTTTTCTTTCGAGTATTAATGATAGATAATATAAGAATATTAAATTATATTATCTATGGAATTAATCATAATTATTACAGTATTATTATAATTAATTACTATTTTGGTGCTTATGTCTATATTCTATTTATTTAGTTTTATTGGTAATTCCATTATATTTAATTCATTGAGAAGTCATTTTGATTAAACCACTACATATTGTAATCTCAAAATAAAATATAGCATATAATCGCATAATGAAAAGCCATCTCTTAGGAGTTGGTACAATAAATTAACATTGTTTAAAAGACAATAGTATTTTATTAATTGAATAAATTTTTAATTTAAAAATGGTGTTAAATTATTTGTAATCATCTACTTTTACATTAGTTTTTGATTTTGAAACAAGATAAATATATAGAAAATTATGTTAATAGGAAAAAAAACATTATTTTGCAGTTTCTGAAATTCTTGAAAAAAAAAATAAAAAAATTTCAATATAAATAAATAGTTAATAATGAGTTAATAATGTGGTAATATATAGTATATGTATTCAGTTTTGATTTTTCTATGGCCTAATGTTGATTTTGACGTAGATACATAATTTCTTTTACATAAATGGCCACACTGCTGTGTGTTATTTTGTGTCTCAATGAAATTATTAAATGCTTTCCCTATATTACTCCATAATACCAAGTCGCCCCGATTTAATATTACATGGGTACCATATAATTTATATAAACCACGGTTTTAAATTATCATTGACATTAAACTTATAGATTGTCATATGTTGTTAATAGATGATAGAACTAGCAAATTTATAGTTCTCTATCCGGTCAATAAAAGCACGGGTGATTACATGTTAATTTCATCGAGTTGCATAGGGCTGACATAAACATTCACTTCTCGGCTCTTAGATAAGGATGACGGCTATTTTGTTGGCGACAATAATAGTACTGAAGTCGGCTATCTAGTTGTTTTATATATTCACTGTCTTAAATTATTATACATTTGTGGTGGGTCCAACCTTGGTTAGGTTTACTGTGATAATGCTCTATATGGTAAAACTGATATCTTATAACCAAGGCTTTGATACATTTTCCACAATACCAATTTTGTACTTCTGGTACCTACTTGATATATATTTAATGATGTTGCGTTAGGTCAGTAAATATTCTAAACTACGACACTAAATTCTTTCTAATTAATTTTTAGGACTATGAGTTCATTAAATGTATTACGAATACCAGTGGTATACTTGTCAACAAAACAATGCCCGAAATATAAATCTACCAATTCAAAGAAAGAGGATTTAAAGAATATAAAAATAAAAATGAAGACTCCAATTGGTAATGTAAAATAATCTGACTAAGTTGTACATGTAATAACTAGGGCAGATATTTATATGCTGTTGCATATTTTTATTGGTTAGTTATAAGAAAAGTGTCTAGTTATACTAGGATTGCTATTTATCCCGTTTTGACTTGTATAGTCCCAGCTTTAAGGGAATGTCCCGATATCCCTGCCAGTCAGTAGAGACCATGAGTAAATTTATGAATAACACTTTGTTGGATTAAAAGGATGCATGAAAATACAGTATAAGACCTGATAATCTGTTGAATGAACATTCAATATCATGTTCCTATTTGAGGATTTCAAAATCTGGCAACCCTAAGTTATACCAAAACGTGTTTCATGTCTGAATCGATTTTATATCCAAAATTGTATTTTACATCTATGTTTTTATGGCATATTTTAAGCCTTTGTGTATATTTACAGCATCTTATGGATTTTTGTACCTTTTAAATACACGAATCAATGCGTCACATGGAGTATTATAATAAGTGTATTATATGACCGGTTTCAAATTAAAAATTCATAATCAGGTATATCAGTCAAAATGTAAAACGTGACTGAATATAAAAAATTAAATGAAGGAATACATAGAAAAAAAAATTTGTCACTTTACATAGAATATAGAAATTAAATTTCTTAAATCTTACAGTTTTCATAATAAACAATAAATTTAATTTTAGTATCTACAAGAAACCCACATAAATTGACACTATAAACCACAAGATTTTAATCACACTTATTCTCAAAAACTATTTTTTAATTCAATATTATATAGGCTTGAATGTATTTCATTAAATAAACATAATTATCAACACTAGTTCAATATTATCTATAATATTGCCCATAGAAATAATTTCAATTTAAATACTATTGAAAAAATTCATAAACGTATTAAAGAAAAAATAATATACAACTCACCAAATAATGTTATTAACTTTTGTAGTATGAAATATCAAGATAATATGTCTAACAAATTCACATAAATTCTGAACAATAATACAAATAATGTAAAAATTACTTTTAAGACTAATAATAATTTAATCAAACATAAAAACCATTGAACTAAATATGACTAATAAAACCCCGTTTTTTGAAAATACTGGTATATATAAACTTAAATGTAACTGTCATGAATTTTATATAGGTAAGACAAATAAAAATTTTAAAATAAAATATAAAGAACACATTTTTGAAATAAAATTAAAAAAGACTGCCGCTAATTCAAATTTCACTAAACATATTTTAGAAAATAATCATAATATAAGTTTTAATATTAATATAGACTTAGAAATATTAAATACCCAACAAAACATTTACATTAGGACTTGCAAATCCAATTTTTGACTCAAACATTGAGGTTCTCTCACTCCTCATTCGCTACTTGGTACAGACATATTTCTCCAACCATCCCGACATTATCCTGGTTCTAAAACCTCAATCTTTCCAGGAAATGCATAATTTTACTCTCCCGTCTCTGGTTTGGTCATGCATGTCTTTCTTCTCATTCCTTTAAATTGTCATTGAACAACACCCCTCTCTGCACACTCCACGATGATCCAATGGTCTGTGATATTAACCAATTACACTTTATTTGCCCTAGTCTATCAACACATTGTGACCACCTATTGTCTCTTCTGAACACCACCAATATCCCTTTCGATACAAATAAATATTTTCTTATTTTATAATAAATCTTATACCATATATTATCTTTCTTTATTCATACAGGCTTTGTAATTTAATTTGTAAATTGTTATTATTCTTTTTCTTTCTTTTTGTAAACTTCCTCTACATTAATTTTAATTAATTGTACCGGCAAAGTTTTAATAAAAAAAAATTTACATTAATTCAGTTTTAGAAGAATTTATAAATAATTTTAATAATATTTTAAATATTCAAACCGATTTTAAAAATAATATCTTTTATAAATACATTTTAGATAATAAATAATTAAATAATTAATATTTATTAACATATTTATGTCTAATAATAACTAATTTTAAAAAATCTCTCCTGTTAAAATAAATTATTTCTAATTATATGTAAAACGACTAATTTGAATAATTTTTTTTTTTCTATGTATTTCTTCGTTTAATTTTTATATTCAGTCACGTTTTACATTTTGACTGTGATATACCTGATAATGGATTTTTAATTCAAAACCGGTTATATAATACACATAAAATTCCAGGTGACACATTGATTCATTTATTTATTATTTTAATAACTTTGTTTTTACTTTATTATTTTATTTTATTACTTTCAACATGTTTTTTTTAGTATATATTTGTATTTAGAACATATTTTAAGGGCATTTTTGTTATTTTTAGTACATATTTGCATATGTATTTTAAGGTTTTTAGAAGAGCAAATAAATATCTGCCATAGTAATAACCATTACATCTTACTAAAGGGAAATTGGATGAACTGGAAGCTGGCAAGCATCCTTTTCAAGAAAAAGAACCACTTAAAGAATGGCCTGAAGGCCGCAATCCAACAACAGGTGAACTTAATGGCCCAAAAGGACCCGAACCAACCAGATATGGAGATTGGGAGCGAAAAGGAAGAGTTAGTGATTTTTAAATCAAAAACACAATGTATAAATAATTTGTTTATAATTAAATTTCTTTAATAGTTATTTTTTTAAAAGATATTTAGATAATAGTAAAAAAAAAAAAAAAAAAATGGATGTATTTGGATTTTTGAATAAAAATTAAATTAATATTAAAGAAAATATATCCATCTAAAACTAAGCGAATTCTCATAATTATACCAAGGTCAATAACTTATTCATCTGTTTTTGATAGACCCATGGCATCTTTCATCATAAAATTTCTTAGTGCCCATAATGCGTTTAAAACATTTCCATGATTACCAATTCCTTTCCCCAACCATTGAACAGCTGGGAGCGAATTTGGATCATCTGGACCCTTAGTGTTTTCTTGGGTAGCCATTAATTGACGTTCCCAACTAGGTTTGCTCTCCAGATTCAAACTTTCAATGTATCTATACAAATTTAAAAGTAGTAAGAAAAAATGTTTGACAATTTAAATTTTTTATATTTTACTTGATGTAAGCTTCAGAATGAAATACCCTCGTAGGCTTTGGTGGAACTGTTACAAATAATGGCTCAGGATGTTTATTAATAATTATGCTATTATTACTTGCTGATCCTAAAATCGAGTGTGACATTAATCAATGTTTCATATGTTTAACAAAAGGAAATAATATATGCTATTCACAAATATAATTACCATTTTGAGACATGGGTGATGGTGTATTCCTATTTATCTGATTTAAAACATTGACAGCTCCTCCAACTACATATTTAGAAAAAAATTAATATGCATATTTTATAATTTAAAAATAATAAAGTAGGATAATAACAGATTTTTTTTGGATTATCCACCCTTAATCTTTAAAAGAATCAAATAATATAAGATATCTACAAAAGCCAAAACACCTAAAACTTTACCTGATTGATTTGTATACTGTTGTTGTGGTACTTGTTGTGGGGTAATTTGTTCTTTTTTCAAGCGTGTCGAATGTACTACTTGTCTAAAAAGCATTTCAAAATTCAATATAAAAAGCAACACACAACATGCACATCTATATATATATATATATATATACAATACTGAACTTTACAAAGTATATTAAAAACAAAAAAAAACTATAATATATTAACGCAAACTACTGGAATCAAACTAAAAATAATATCTACATTTTTAATAAATTATGTTTAAAATAATAAAATCACTTTTTAGCAAGTAGCTGTAAGAAAATAAAAATGATTGTAACTTTGAGCAACTAGATTAAAATGAACTAAAATTATTAAACAATGATACTTAAAATAACTGCTAAAACCAATCCTAAAAAAACTAATTATAGAAATATTACAAAACCAAGAAGTCATTCAACATTTTTAGAAATTAGAAAATTACTAAAATAATTTGGAAAACAAATTAAAACAATCATGCTAAAGTAATTCCACCAGAATTTATTGCAAACTAAAACAGACCATTCGAATTTTCAATTGGCGGTGGAGACACTGGTGTCACTGATAAAACAGAAGTAGTTGCAACGACTGAGCGAGTGCTCGACATGAAATTTCTGAAATTAAGTTTGTTGAATATAATTTATAATTCTTATAATAAAATGTATAAACTATTAAACTTATTATTATATTGTATTAAAATTATTAAACTAAATGTTTTAAAGTAGAATTCAAATAAATTTTTTGAATCATCTATTTATCATAAAATAAGCAATTGTTATTTTATAAACATTATAATTAAGCTTTATTTTAACAATATTTTCAATTTTTATCTCATCTCTTTAAAACTTAAACGAGTAACACTTTTGGTTTTCAAATATTTCTACTCTCTTTTTTAAATGTATGTTTGAAAAGAGAATATTTTTCTAAAAATGTTTATATGTATGACACTTAATCATATACTCCATTTATGGGTTATAACAGTTTAAAATTTATTCCAGAGTAGTAGGAGAGGGCAACAAACTTTATATCCATTTTTAATAATCTAATATTGGAAATATACAAATTATTATATTTGATAAATTTGAATAATTGGTAGCATTGGAACCATGTGTACAGTTCACTAAAATATGTTGTCTTCAAATAATTTGACAATAGTTCTATCTATAGTATATTATCTAAGGTTAGAACATGAAATACAATAGCAAAGAAAACATGTATTATACAAATATATAGTATAAAATGAAGTCACTGTTTTTTTTTTTTTTTTTGGGATAAACTCCGAAACAGCTAAATGGATTTTGATGGGGGTTACACTGTTGGATAGACAATTAACCAAAGAAAGTTTATAACTTTCAAAAACCATCCCCCAAAATTTGGTTTTAGGTGTTATTGTTAATTATTCATTACTATTATTTATTTATTTATTTGGATTACTTTAATAACAATGAAAAAAAATTGGTTAAAACATATGTATGGTAATAATATTAATAAAAATAATTATAAAGATTTATGTGCCGTATTATGCAATAAAACTGTAAACTGTCTATAAAAATTGTTTGCATTTTAGTCATGCCTAAACAAAGATCTAATATAGGATGCAACACTGCAAATGCTAAAAAAGTATATTTAGTTCATAGTAATGAAACTTCTGCTGATTTAAATTATAGATTTTATGTTTACCCAGAAATATCGACCATTTCTACTATGACTTTGAGTTGGTTTCAGGAATGAGCAATATTGTCATCAACTAATGAGCAAGTTAATAAAATAAATGGCATGGTACTGTTACATTCAATGTACCAACAAAAATTGAATTAAAACAATTTTGAATTTTTCTTTATAGATTTTGTACTTTCTTACATTATTCTCACATCTAAGTTGTTTGCAACTGTCAGTACAATAGTAAAACAAATAACTTGTCTAAAATACCTTTTGTGTCCAATTGCCTGAATTGTAAAATTAATTAAATTTTTAAGTATGTAGTAAGTAAATTCTACTATTATAAAATATCTGTTTAAATAAAAATTATTTTTATTAAATATAGTTATTTTTATTTACAAAATCTTAAATGGCACTATTGAGGACAGTTTTCCTCTTAGTCAAATTAATTTATCTGTTCCCACTTTTAACTCTAGAAACCGGCTATCTTTTCACATTACTAGGCACTAAACACTTAATGGTTATTTTTTCCCTATCAATAGAGCACTAGTATCTTGTAATAACTTTCAAAATTATTTTGATATTTTTCAATCCTTTTAAAGTATGCTACAAATCAATATATTCTCTTTTTAACTTTTTTTTTCAACTTTTATACTGTACTCTAGTTATATACCTAGAACACTTATAGATTTACTGAACATTATTTTTTTTTTATTTTTTTCACTATTTATGTACATTTTCATATTTGTATTGTTATACATTTTCTGTACTGAATGCTTTTCATTCAACTGAGTGTATTTCAAAATAAATAAATAAAATTGTCATTATAAAAGAAGTGTGATGTCTTTAGCTTTTAATTAGTCTTTTTACCAATAAAAGTCTTTATTTTACAATAGGTGCATTTTTTACTAATTAAAAATGCAGGGTTCAATTTAAACAATAAATAGAAAAAAATTAATTGTTATCCAAATATTATCTACTAATTATGCAAAATAATTTACCCTCTACAAATATAAATATTATTTTTTATAAACTCGGAACTAAGTGGTAGTAATATTTTTGATATAACTGGGGATTTAGTTAAGTCTCTAGTCTTTAAAACTTTAGAATTATTAATTGTATTATTTTATTTATATTGATTTCAAATTGTATCTAATCTCTAGATTAATTATTTTTTTTTCATAAATAATAATTTTTAGAAAATGATTGAATATTTTTTAATTAAATACAAAAACCCCCATAGTTACCATAACAAAATTATAAATTAATACTAGTACTAATACTTCTCAATAAATATATTTACTTGTTTCGCTCTGATAATGGTACATGTTTTCCAGGATTTTTAAGTATATGTACTTCTTTAACATGTCTGACTAAACGGTGCAAACTTGGAAATGGAGCAATACCTGTCTTCTTAACTCTAAGACATCCTCTCCATTGACATTGGAACTCTACATCTATACAGTATAGGTGATGTTAAATCACAAATTGATAAACAAATTAAATTTTTATTGTATAAAATATACCATTAGGGGGAATTGCTGAAAAGAATGTTTGTACATGACCGTATTGATCAGCCACAGCATGATCTAAACAATCCGATTGATCTTCAAATTGCCATTCACAATTATCCCAACCACACTCCCATATCAGATCAGAACCTTCTGGCGGAGGTGGTGCTTGTATAGGTTGTTGGCGCCATTGTGGATAATTCTCTTCATTTAATCTATTTGCACGTTCCTCATATGCTAATTTTTCTGTTGGTGATAAATTACGCCACTGCAATTTTATTAAATTAAAATACAAAATTGTTTTCTCAAACATAAAAGTATAATATATCACAATAGTATTTTAATATAATACTTATTACAAAAAATAATATAACTTACTTCATTGCCAACTATTCGACTAACTTCACCAAAACTACGATCCGGATTATTTTGCACCACGGCTTTTCGAACATCACCTGTATACAATATATAACCAGTGACTAGTTTCTTATGATTAGGATTTTTTTTTCTTGATGATGATGGTGTAGACATAACTGTTGAAGTATTCAGAGTCCGTTCTCCTAGATCAGAAGAGCTAACAGATGGCGGACCTCCGTCCATTGAATCTTCTGTCATTGTATCAGCTGGCTCTAATTTTGGCATTACTGGAGAACTAACATTCTGTAATTATAATAATAAATTTAAAAATTAAATACAAACAACTTTACTTCAAACTTTATGATGGAGCTTACTGAGACAGAATCATAATTTTGGTTATACACAGTTTTAATATCACTTGATTGAGTATTAACTTCAGTTGCACCATCCTAGAATTAAATTAAATTATATATCTCATTTTATAATAACAGTAAAACAGTAATTACCTTAACTGGATGAATAAGTCTCCTAAAGAAATAATACTCATCTTGATTTACAGTTGAAGAATGAGTATATTTTTTTAAACCATCTTTTGGTAATTCTCTGATTTGCTTAGTAGATTCGTCATAAATTGACTCACAGAGATAAACATCATCTTCAGCTATTTCAGCTGGACGACCTAAAAAAATTAACAAAATTAATGATGAACATAATTTAATTTGTGCTATAATAATTTACATGATATATAATCTGCATGTTCTAACACTGAACATTTTCCTGTGATTTTTGATACTAATACTGTTTCTTCATTATTAGTCAACAAAACTTCTTGTTTAAAAAATTGTCTACCAGAAAAATTTGAAAGATCTGTAGGATATAAAATTATAGGACCATAAATGTAAGCAGTTCCTCTGAAATATTAAAAATATGTCAATAATTAAAAATTATGATACTGGGATAAAGCAAAAATTAAATAAATAAAATTTGAACAATCAATATTATCATATAAATAGTTAATATATTTAACATAGATTATCATGTTAAGTTAATTACCTATTTATTTTATTTGATATAATCAAGACCTGATTTAGTAATGATTAGTATAAAGTTATACATACTATATTGCTTGCTATATGTGGTATTTCACAAAGTGAAAAAAAGCATCAGCTGGTTTATGTAACAAGATAATTCCAATAAGATTTGAAGGGTAAGTTCTACTAGATTGTAATGAGATCAGCTATATTGTATGGTTCATTATGTTGGGAGGTAGACAGAAAAATAGAACAGATAACAAATGTAACAGATATGAAAATGCTTAGGTGGATGAAAGAAGTGATGAGAGAAGATAGGATAAGGAATAAATCTGGATTAGATGTCGCTTCAATTGTAAACAGAATGAGAGAAAATGAACTGAAATGATTTAGGCATGTCATGCAAGAGAGACAAATCAGAAGCAATAAGAATTGCAATGAAAATAGATGTAGGTTGTAATAGGAAAGAATGGAAGAGGAAGACAGAAAAAAAGGTGGTTAAATGCGATTGAGAATCATATGAAGATAGCAAGTATATGCAATGACAATGTTAAAGATCAGGTCAAATAGAATTTTAGGATGAGGATGGCCAACCCAAGAAGTTGAGAAGAAGACTAAGGAGAAAAAGAAAAAGAATGCTATTTCAAAAATATCACCTTAACTTCAAATTATAAAAAAACATAAATATTACAAAATATTAGCATGTTCTATATATTTACATGAACATTTTTTTTATCGATAGAGGTATTTTTTTTTTTAAAAACTAGTTGATCTTATAATATTATTTATTTATTATTAAAATTTCAACACCTGACAGTAATTTTACAAAGATAAAAAACATTTCAGGTACAATAATAATATAATATGAATAGTATAATAGTATATATGTTACCGGGAATAATATATTGATAATTCAGTATTATTCATAATGCCAAAAAAACACCAGGAATTATGTACAATTATTATAATCACTAGGTATTATGTATAATGTCCAAAGAAAATTAGGTAATATAATAGATATTGAGGTACCTATATATTATTAATAAAAAAACAAACATGAAATAATACACAAAATGGTAATTCTTGATTATTGGTTAATGGGCAAAGATTTTAAATTTTGTTCAATGTCATATGAAATTTTTTTTTTTATCAGCATTGAACATCTTACATAGAATGTTTTTTGTAGTCTATCTTTTGGAGCAATATTTATGATAGAAAAACATTAGCCATAAAAATGTAAAATAATGAAATTGTTACGCCATAATTTAAATTATAATTAAAAATAATAAATAAGAAATATTAAGTACCTAGCATTTGCTAAATTGATTTTTTTTAATTTGCCTAAGACAAATTTGGTATTTTATAAAATACCTAGGCAATATTTGAAATAATATTGCTTATTATAAATTTTTTTCATATTGCCTAAAACCAGGAATATATATTATGCAAAATACCTAAATTATCAATATTGCTGGTAAAATATATATATAATTTATGTATAGTATATATAGTAATAAAAGGTATAACAATACACAAATAGAGCAAATATACATCAAATTAACATAGAAACTAATTACATGATTTGATCCTAAAATTTACCCTTATACAACAATTATAAAGACTACCAGTCTAGAACAGTGTTTCTAAACCTTTAATCATGTATCCCTTGACTTCTTACTACTGCTTTATGGACCCCCAATGTCAACTCGTCAAATATTTTCACTTAAGATAGACAAGAATTTATGAAATAAATAAAAAAAAAAATTTGGAAATATTGTAATATTTGAAATATTTGTTATAGGCACATCAAATTAGATAAAATCCAGCGTACACATGCCACAACTTAATGACATATCCATATTATATTCATATTATACCTATGTATAATGAAGAACCAATTTTCAATTACAATGACGCAAATATCAAATACAACAATTTTTCAATGGACCCCAGGTTGAAAAAGACTGGTCTAGTAGACTGATGTTTAAATTAATTGGACGCATTTTTCTTTGAATTACATCATTACATAAATAATTGCTTTTACTGATGTTGATTTTGAAAATTTTTTAAAATTGAATAACTAAATTTATTATAAAATGTGTATCTAGCATTTTCCCTTTAATATCAAGGTAAGAAAAGTTTAAAAATTGTCGTGGTACGGTGAGTAATTTTAGAATATGACTTGTGTAAGAAAAATATTATATAGTAAAAACTAATTAATATATTTTATAACTCAGAATGATTAAGTGATTCTACCTATTTTATGTAATAATTCTTTCGCATGTAAAATTTAGTTAGGAAAAAAGTTTTTTAGAACTATAAATCAATTATTTCAGTATTTAAATACTAAAAAGAATTTAAGTTATTAATGTCAAATAGGGTTACTTACTGCTTGTTAATCCAAATTTTATCAATTTGAATTATACGAGTTTGTCCATCATTTTTTAGATAAACAAAATCCCCAGGTTTGAGCACACCAATTGGAGCATTGTACTGTTCATAATAAACACTGCCATCATCAATAACCCCTGGAGGATTTGGTATTATCACATTCTACATAATAAAAAGAAAAACTATTTACAAGAAATAATAATTTAATTTATACCTTAAAAAGAAGTGTTGGCATAAATGTACACGACCAGTATAATAAAGTATTATCTATAATATAAAAAAATCTTAATTTTTGAAAATAGATAGACAAATAGAGGGAGGCCTGAGAAGAGCCTGACGCCAAAATTTATATTAAACAATTTTTTTTTTGTAGTCTTAAAAAAGAATTATACATTTATTTTTATACTTTTTAACATTTTTTTTATTAATTCCTGGTTTTTGCAAAAAAAAAATAATTTAATGGTTTTCATGGGTCACCAATAAAAACTCTATACCTATAGTATTATTTTAGTTTAATAGCAAAAATTTTTTTAACTAAACGTCTTATAAATATAATCAGAAAAAGTATGGGGGTTAGATATCTTAAGCACCCTAAAAGTTAGATGAGAACAGAAAGATATGTACAATTTAATTTTTGTTTTTTGTTTAACAATAAAATAAAAATAAAAGTACTAACTGGTTTTTCTTTTTCAATTATTTTTTCATTTTCTTCAAGTTCAGCTATTTCTTCTTTATGTTTTTCCATCCGGGCGCGAAATATTGACATTACTCGTTTAGGATCCAAAGGCTCTTCTCTTTCAACTAATTTCCACGTAGCTGTTAAAGTTGAGGCCCAGTTCTACAAGAACTCAATGTTTAAGATAAAATATTTAAAATTATAACTACATTAGAACAGGATAATGTTTACCTTAATTTTTTTGAAACTTCTACTTTTAAACGTATATCTAGATTCACAAACATACACATCTTTCTCGTCAAACCCTATAGGTTGATAGCGGAAATAATCTTTAACACTTACAACAGCACATCGACCTTTAATTTGACTAACTGGTATAGAAATAAATGAATCAGACTTAAAGACCTCCTAGAAAATAGTCAAATAAAATTACAAATAAAATTCAATCATTTAAATAAATTAATACTTACTTTTTCTAAAAATTTTCGAGTAGATGAATGATACGTTTCACTAGGTCTATAAAAATGATTTCCGTATAACATTTTTTGAGATTCTTGATTAGTCCATAATCGTTGGATATTTAATATCATCAGTTCTTGACCACGTTCATTTGGTTCTACATAAACAAAATCACCAACTCTATAAACTAGTTGATTTACACAGACAGAATCATCTACAGTGCCAGCAATTACAGGTGCCGAATTATCTTCTTGTTCCTAAAATTTAACAAGTCAAATTTAATGTTATTAATTAATATTATTTTTATTTAATTAAAAAACATACTTCTTGAATACTATCTTCAGTTTTAATTTCATCTTCTTCTGGATTACCACTTATGGATTCTTCAGCCATTTTTCTTTCTCTCATATCATTTACTGATAACGATAAATCCAACAAAGAATAGTTTAAAGCAGGCGAATTCAACAAATCTCCATTACGACATACTTCATCTCTAGATTCAAAATTTATTTACAGCTGTATTACTATTATAAAATTAATAATTACAATTTTTTTTTAGCATAAACCTTTTGAGAGCTAATGTAAAAATAACAATTTAATATTTAATAATTTTCATAAAAATAAAGCATTGGTATCATTGGACATAGATATCTTTTGACCAATTCTAGCAAAAGATCATCATCAAAATATAATATAAATAAAATTAAAATAAACATTATATTTAATGGTATTCAAGGTTTTAGCTTCATTTTAAATCACACGAATATAATATACATTTAATATATTTATTTTTAACGTTTACTGAGTGGGAGATTAAAATACAAACCTTTGTCTAATAAAATACGACTGCAATTCAATAGAATCTTCAAATACTTGTGAATCTGTACGTGAAAGCTGGCGCGCTCGTTCCAAACAAGCAAATAAATCATCTTGGAAAGTGTCTAATCGTTTGTACTGGTTACTATCTAATCTCCGTTTAATCAAATCTAAAGATAGGCCTCTTACCCTAAAGATAACATAAATTTAACTATCTTATTTTTCAATTAAAAATTAAGTTATATATACTTATTTCCATCAACATCATCATGTTCAGGTAATTCTGCCATAGAATCTGAAAAACAACGTCCTTCTTCATCTTGATGATTATAAACATTGGTAAATAATGAAGTTAATAATTCTTGAACTGCACTTTGAACATCAGGTGTACTATCTTCATCAGCTCTAAGTTGTAATTTTGTTTGCAAAGTGAGTCTTTGCAATGTCAATGCATCTTTATAAATTTGAGAATCAGGCTCATTGTATTTACAAGCATTATCAAACATTAAAACATAATCCGCAGCTAAATCATCAAGGCTTTCATATAAATTATTTTTCAGTTTTTGTGATATTACTTCTAAATTAATAGGTTTTTTTATCACTTCATAATAGTCTGGATATTCAATTTTTGATGGTAGTTTCATAAAGATAATGGATAATAAACGACCTTTTTGATCTTTGAAATCTTTAATTGTGTTAAATAATGTACGCAATTTTTGCAAAGTTGCTGGTGGCAGATGAGATTTTCGGAATTTCAACAATGAACTCGAAACTCTAATAAAATATAGTATATTATCACATTTATTGAATAATATTATTATATATATATATATATATATATATATATACATTTAGCAGGTTACCTATTTACATTATTATAATTTATATTATCTTTTGAGGGTATTTTTGAATTTTCCTGTTATGTCATCATGTTATTTATAATAAATAAAAACAATTCAAGCATACAGTTTATTTTAAACTCAATACAAATTAAGACGAAATAATAATTAATAATTATAACATGACAAAAAAGGTAAGTCAGCAACTTTGTGTTATACACAAAATGGAAATTGTAATTTATTGTATCAGTATCACATTATCACATATAATTATATATGCTAAAAGCGAAAAGGCAAAAATCGGCAACCATGTTTGCACAGAATCTGTTGTTAACCGTGAAATTGCTGTCATATCTGTTTATTTTGTCATGTACAATAGTATCTTTGTCCTTAATAGGGTAATAATCGACATTTTAATATGTTGTAATGACAAGGTAATATTATTTATTATAAAAAATATAAAATATTCGTTCTTCTTCTACTTTGCCAACTATTTGGGGTCGGGCACTCTCGTCCTAAACTTCCACTTGACCCAATCCTCCAAATCATCCTCATATATACCCTTCATCCTCATATCATTCTCAACTGCATTCAAGTCTTTATCAATTTTCCTCTCTCTCTCTTTCCTCCTAAATTTATTTCTAATACAATTTTTAAAGTTTTTGATTCCTCTTACTCATAACATGCCCTTACTATCAATCTATTTGATCTTATTTTGTCAACTATGAAATATCTATTAAACAAATTTAACTTATTTTTATCTTCGAGGTTATGACTTTAAGTAACAAACATGTAAATTGAATGGAAAAATCTAGGTCAATCAATGAATAAATAGTAAATACCATTTTATATTTTAAACTAATAACTTACGTTTTATTATTTTTACTTAGTACAGGGCCCAATTCTTTTGATCGATCCAATAATACTTTTTCTAAGGTATTTGCATCCTCATAAATCAGTGATCCGTCTTCATTAAATTGACGACAATTGTCAAACATCAACTAAAACAATTGATGTTTATATGTTATTGTGGTACATGTGTATATTAAGTAATTTACATGAAAATATTTTAAACTATTAAATATAAATAAAAAAATTTAAATTATAATATTGAATTTTAATACGATTTCAAAGGATTACTTTAAAATCTTGTAATATTTCATCTTCACTTTTGTACTTTTCTTGTTTAATTTTCTCTTCAATTGTAAGCATATCAATTGGTTCAGCTATAACTTTGTAATAATCTGGATACAATTTTTTAGATGGCCTTTCCATAAACATTAACATGGGTACACGCCCATGTTCAGTCTATTAGAAAAAAAATTGATAATAAAGTTATAAACTGCACACAAATATATGTTTCAATTTTAAATTTACTCAATAAATATTTTACCGTATAATCCATTAAACATTTGCATAAAGCATACAATCGTCTCTTGAGAGGTATATTATTCAAGTATTTTCCACGAGTGAGACAACGTGGTGATCGAACAAATTTCTTAGATACTCTAGATGTTGACTGCAATTCGTCATCTGCAGAATCATCTTCACTATCAGAATACTGGAGAGAGATAAATAAAAGTTTAATGAACAATTTATTGACCACAAAATATATTTTACAAATACATACTTGATGTCCTAAATCTAACAGTTCTTGAGCCTTAGTCTGCATAATTTTTTGTAATTTTACTGCATCCTTATAAGATTAAAATTAAAAATGTTAACAACAATTATAATTTTGAAAATTAACATATTAATTTTTCTTTCTATAGAATCTCAATAATTTTAACCACAATAGTAGACCATACAAATGTTGACAAAAAATTAAATTTATTTTATTTTATGTTAATAAGTGCAAATACTAATTACTTTATAGGGTTTTGTATCAGAACTGAAATATTTTTTTGCATTTTCTAACATAATATTCATATCGCCTGCCACTTCACTGACTGTACCATAATCACCATTCTAAACATAAAATAAAATTTATTTTAAGTTTAAAATCAATATCCTAAAACTCACCTTTAATTTTTTTCCAATTTGCATTAATGAAAGTGGATTACGAATTTCACGATAATAATTAGAATAGTACCGCCTGGAAGGTAATCTCCAAAATGAATCACTTAGCAGGCTTCCTAAATTAATAATTATATTTAAAAATTTATTAGTTAAAGATAAATATTTAGATATCAAAATGTTTACCTCCAATTCCAGTTGCAGATCGCACAGCATTATACAACTGCCACCTAGGATTATCTGGACCATCCGTACTACTTTGACTATCAGTAACAGTATCTTCATCTAAATCTGAATCCTCTTCTTCTTCAGATTGTAATGCAGCTGTTACAGCAGACATTGATGTTTGACTACCTCTCATACGTTTAGCCCTTAATGGAAAACAATTTAATATTTATTAATAATAAATTCAATCATTAAAAATGATATATCATTTTTTTTATAATAATTACAATATAAATACAGTATATATTATATACACACAAGATTATCCATTTAAGTGTCCTATACTTGATATTTCAAAGAGTAGACTTTTCAAACAAATTTTTCTTCAGCAATTTTAGTTATATACTTTTCTAAAATCCAGTTTTAATTTTATGTATCTTATGCATAGGGTTTAAACAGCTACTTTTAATTTTCAAAGGACAATATTAATTGTAATGTCATAAATAAAATTTTAGTTTAAAATTTAATACATTTTGATGTTGACATTTTTAATTCCCTTTAACTCATTGACATGATATTCCACTTTTAAGTTTAAGAAGGGAAAGAGTAGTGGAGCATTATTCAAACTCTGCGTGCTTTACCATTACATAAATGATGCTTCACTAGTCTCGCCCTACTCAAACTTAAAAGTGAATTATCTTTTCAATAGGTTAACGGAAATTAAAATTTTTAAAATCAAAATGTATTTTAACTAAAACATTATGTATTTATAATATTTTTATGACATATTGCCATTTGAAAATCAAGTTAATAGTGATTTAATTCCTGAAAATAAGGGTGACAAAACTCAATAATAATGTAATATTTTAGAACTACTTGATGCATGCAATTATAAAAAAAAAAAAGTTATTATATTTTGAAATATGTACACATATAAATGAATCATTCTCTCTCAATAAACTCAATCAAATATTATAATAAGAGTAAATTTTATTTATAAACAAATTTACCTTATTCTTTCACTACTTTTGCTTGGTGCATATTTTCCATGATCAACTTCTATTTTTTTACTAGTAATAATTTTTTTTAAAGTTCTGGCATCTTTATATATTTGTGATCCAGGTTCATTAAATAAACATGCATTTTTTGTCATTATTAACAGTTCTCGCTCCATTTCAGCTAAATTTGTATACTTTCCATCTTGTATTTTACGAGCAATAGATCGTAAATCGATTGGATTTTCAATAACTTCATAATAATTTGGATAAAGCTGGAAATTCAAAAAAATAAAAAATAATAATGTTTAAATTAAACTAATGTGTGGCCTACTAAGAATTCAATTTCATTTGATCACACACTATTTGTAACTTATTCATAGTCTAAAAAGGTAACTATTAATAATAAAATATGTTATTATTATTCACCAATATTTTTTATAATTAGGTTGAACAATAATTGACTTCCTTTTTTTGTTAAATATTTAACCATTTTATTTTATTTTTATAAATACGGGATGAACCCATGATATAATTGCATAATTAATTCAAGACTTAACTAATATCAATAAATACACTTAATCTAGGAGGATTAGCAACATTGACATTAGCTAACTGCATAATTTGTAGGATAGATGAATTAATTATAGTTTGAAAAAGACTAAAAAAGAAAGAGATAATAAAAGGGATAATTGAAAGTGTATTGGAAATAGGAATAAAGAAGTTAATAATTGGAGGAAAAGACAATTGATATTATTAATTGACAGGTTCATGCAGAGGACATTAGATTTCCTTAGTGTATACAACGAATCAGAGAGAATTCTTTTGGTCATATTTGATAGTACTACTACAAGCGTCCAAAGAAAGAGGCCAGAATACCATTCATTTTAATTTTCCTTAATTGAACAAACAAGAGCACAGTATAAGGCTTTACAAGAGTGAACAAATGAGAGAAAACAAAGAATGAATCTGAGGACTTAAAAGTTTCTACAACATATCTCCTAGAAGTGTTTATTACAACATAAAATGCAAGTAAATATAAAGTGTGTCCTACACTCAAACACCAGAAACTTTGTTGTCATATCAACTTTAGTTAAATGATTTCAAATAGTTTGTTCATATATTTCTTCCTAGTGTGTTCTGTCTTTGAGTAAGATTCTTCTGTAACAGCTCTACTTTACATATGACCAGCTACATGTCAAACAATGCAATAAGTAACTAGTACAAAGAAAATTTGTTGATATTTGCTGTCTATGAGCTAAAAGTCAATCATCTTTAGCTCGAGTACACACTTATTCGTTCCTCCCTTGGTACATTTACCTTAGATTCTTGCTGTATTAATGTTGAAGTCTCCATAGAAGATAAACACTTCCAAATAGTTTATACAATCAATGGTTTTTTCTAGGTTAAATATAAATAAACTATTAAAATAGTTTTTAATCTATCAAATAGTTTAAATGCAATGAAGTATTAAATAGTTCAATAGTAACTATTCAGTTGTGTCCATCATTACTATCGATGCTTCTGATATACTATACTTCATTTATTTCAGTGTTACCTCCTACACCACAAGAAACCATTCACTATTTTAACTGTCACACCATCATACTTCCTACGGGTAAATCACCCACTTAATCAATCTTTTCAACATTTAAATCTTAATTTTATAAAAATGAGTTTATTTAAAATTTATTAATTTTTTCACAACCACTGTTTATATATAAGTTATTAACCATTTATTTTAACTAATGCCTTGCATGGTGAATACATATAAAAATAAAAATTGAATTAAATTTAGTGAATAAAGAACAATTAAAAAATACCTTTTTAGAGGGCAAAAGCTGAAATGCTTCTGATAATAAACGATTGTCATTATCTGTAGCAGACATTACAGCAGTAAATAAATCTTCGCACATGGCTAACTCATCATCACCTCCGGCCAATGATGAATTACTTTCTTCTTCATCAGTCTGTTCAGACTTTGACACTGAAGCTGCTGAACCTCCTCTTTTCCCCTAAAAGTTAAGTTATAAATAAAACATTACAATTTGTATTATTATTGGACCCTATTTAGTAGAACTTGGAAAACTAATAACTATTTGGAAATTTGATTCTAGTATACAAATTGTATTTTAAAAGAATTCACTGCATAAATTAACCATCATTATCTGATAATCATATATCTGAGTATAAAATTATTCTATACAACCAAATTCAAACATAATAATGAATATAGTGATTACTTACTAATTTTCCTACACGAATAACAATTTTTTCTTTGGGTGTTCCTTCTCTTTCCAATAAGTTATTTTTAGTATTTAAAAATACTTCCCATAACTCTACTGCGTCTTTATACTCTTGAGAATTTTTCTGAAAATATTAAATTTATCATAATTGTTATAAATAACTAGTGTGTAAAATTGTGTTAAAAAATATTCTAATTGAGTTGTAGTTAACATATTTTTCCCTCACATAGCTTATATAAATAATATGCTAATATAATATGTATTGGCAAATTACCATTAATTTTAGCTTAAAATTTAAAAAACATGACTCAAACAATGAAATGGAGAATTCAATGAATTTTTTACAAAAATACATTTTATCAGGAAATTAAATTTTATAAAATATTTGTTTTTATATTTAATGATTCAGGAAAAATATTTGCATAGTTTAATTATCAATTTCGGTAAACAAATTAAAAATATTTTTCGAAAGTCATAAATTTATAAAAAATAATATAAATATATTTTTTATTGAATGTTCTATGTTCTACAATTAAAATGATATACTTCTTTTAAAATGTTTTATGTTTCTTGAGTTAAGTCTATAAAACAATGAACCTATGCTCTTTAGGTATTTTTCAACACCTCAGAGGCACAGGTTGAGGGTAAGTAGTCATGACAAAAAAGGATCCCCTTAATGTATTATAAGTATATTGTACATAAAAGTTGGGCCAAATATAATTGTAGAAAAACAATATCAATGACTAAAAATTAAATATTTTATTATTAATTAATAATTATTAATTAATTAATTAATTCTCTTATTTTTAAGTTTGATAATAAGCCAATACATTCTAATATTAAAATTAACAACACAAAATCAAATAATGTATAAATATAACAACATTAACCATAAAAATATGTTACAATATATATATATAAATTTAAATAAAATCTATGAATACTTAAAAAAGTTTAATTTTTCTGAAATAACTATTTAAACATAATCAAAATTAATAATTTACCTTATAAAATGACTTGGCATTATTTGTTAGTAGTTCTAAATCAGCTTGTAAATCATCAACATCATCATATTCATCAGTTTTTATTTTTTGTTGAATTTTTATCATATCTATGGGATTAGAAACCACCTGAAAAATGCATTAATTTATTGAATTATTATTATAATTTAAAAAAAAAAGTATAATAAATAATTTACATCATAATATGTTGGTTCTTGTCTTCTCTTTGGTGCTCTTATAAAACTGTCACATAATAATGTACCATCTTCTTTTTTTAAATTTCGTATTGTATCATATACTGATTGAACTATATCCACCTAATTATAATTATAATAATTAAAAATAAATTTTAAGCAAAAATTATATTACTAAAACTATTAACTATATATTGTGTTTAACTGTAGTTAATTTCATGGTAAGTTATTTTCGGTTATTTTTACTACTCTCCAGCCTAACACAATTATGTTTATTATTTTATACTATTGTTATTAATTATTACAAATTTAATCACTAGAAATTACTCAATACTGAAAAAGACCCATTTGATATTTTTCAGTGAAAAGGTTTACTTTATAATCAGTAATAAGGTCAATATAAATAAAAATAAACAATTTCATTACTAACATTATTCATGAATCCTTATTATATGTATTTATACTTTTGTTTAATTTCAACCCAAACATTGAAACCTAATCAATATATTTATTTGATAATAATAAAATAAATTTCGGAAAAATATAATTAAAAAGCAAAATTAATGGATAGGCTATATAATTCAACAGAAAGGATTGTTAAAACTAATTTTAAAAGGGATCATAGAAAAGAAGAACCACAGGGGAAGACTAGTATACATTCAACAATTAATAAAGAACCGAGGATGTGGCTTATATATTCAAATAATGATGAAAACAGATAATAGAGAAGAGTCAAATATGTCTGCGAACTAATCAACAAATTACAACAATAAAGAAAATGCATTTTAAGAAATAGATTACATAGTTAATATTGTTCATAATTTACTCAACGTGTATATTATACAGAACCGGATTGTAAGATCGAAGCCACAGATAATTCAATGATTATTTATTAATTTGCACTTAATACAATTATTATATTAGACCTTAAATTCATCCGTAAAAAATTATTGATTGGTTAAAATCTTTAAAATATAACAGCAAACAATTGGTTCTTGATCTAACTCAAGTCCAGATATACACAATATTATTACTTTGCAAACACATTTGTAAAATAATATATTTTGTATAATATAAAAATTGCTATTCAAAATTACATATACCGGATCCATTCGTCTTTTTTTGCGCATTTGTTCAACTGGTGAACTTTCAACTTCGTCATCAGTTGCACGACTAGCAATTGATGATGCTCTTCGCCGTCGATTCATTGTTTTTAAAGTTTAATATTTTTTATGATGGTTCCTATAAAAATAAACCATCCCATACAACTATATGAAAAAAAAAACATTCATGTACATTATTTGATTTGTATAAAGCAGATTTGTACTTACTTGTCAAAATAAACCAAATGTTAACGAGTTATGAACAATAATACATTTAATGAAGAGTAATATAAACAAATTTATAAACCTAAATTGAAAGTTAACCCTTATTTTCAATTCGCTAGAAACGGGCAAAAAACCAAACACATCATAGTTGAAGCTGCAGCCAAGTGTAAACACAAAATAAAATAATGATAACGATTTTTATTGATTATTTGTTGGTGTTTACAAAATAAAGAGCTCCCGTTGGCTGTATAAATGGTTGTTTGATGACATAATAGTTGACATGAAGATATTATTATGGACTTCACGTTGAGAGAGAAAACCAGTTTCATCATTGAGTAAGAGAGACAGATGAAACTTCTTCCGTCATGGAGGAAAAAATACAGTATTGTTAAATAAAATATTGCCATGGGTAATATAATATTGTACTAAAGATAGGTTAGTAATATGTTCATTAATATGTCTCAATAAATAATATTAGTCAGAAGAATATTGAATTCACCATAATTACTTAGGACAACACTGTACATAATATATTAAAATGACGCTTGTATAAGACGCCAGCTGCAGTGATGAAAACCTTGATGGCACGATCTATATACATACCTCATAATACATACCCTATATTTCAAACCTTTATTTTTAACTTAATTATTTAACTTTTGCGACCGCGTTGGCGTCATAGATAATACAATTATTTTATTATGTGTGGTTGGCAGTTGCGTAAAGATATAATCACAGTTTAAATCTTAAATCGTGGTTATAATACATAAATATATTATATATTTATGTTGGCATCACAAGTTAATCATTAGAAAAAATATTTTCATTTTCATTGATGCACATTCGTTACCAGTCTGTCAGTCCTTCCGTGCTTCCATGGTTTAAGACAGATATAGACTAATCTTCTAATCTTGGTTGCATAACATTACGCGGTAATAGGACAAAATCTCCCTACAACAAAAATTTTCTGAATAAACTTTTTCCATTTATCCTAAGCGAATGAACAAAATCTCACCAGTCCCGTATTTTTACGGTATAGGACAAAAATCTTCCCGTATATTGGTTACACTGTAAAAATATGATTATCAATATTTTACAAATTATAGATAAGATAGATACAAAATACGATATAGAACTGCTGAAAATCATCGTGATACATAGATAAGAATATTATCAGAACATTCAGAATTTTCAAATGCCATTTAAATTTCAATGTTCATTGGTAAAACAAGTTTAGATAAATAATCAATTATGACAATAATAGTAATAAATAAAAAAAGTTATAGATGAAATTAGTTCCATTATATCGATAAATTCTAATATATAAACAGGTATGCTTAGTAAAGTATGTTGATGTACGGAATTGTTTTATACCGGTAGATATAATAAGAAATTCGTTGACTTATAGTTGGTACCACGAACTAAGATATACCGTCGAATCGGGTTATTTGAGACCGCAATTTAAGATATTTTAAACCTAAGACCGTGTCCTAAACCGGGCTTGGTAGATTTAATACATTCAATTTTCTCTCTACCTACCCAACTTCACACCTATAACAGTGACATCCCTCCACGTGTAAAGTAGGTAATACCTATCGACGCCCCCAACGAAGAAGGATGTAACTCACTTTTTATTATTTTTCAGTTTATCCGCTTATGTTGTTTTTTTTTTTTTAAGTTATTTTTTCTTGTTTTCCTACGAAAACGGCAGTATCTCTATTCTACCAAAAAGCTTATAAACTCCCAATGTTGCTTTACCGCCGACGATTAAATAGGCATAAATAAATAACATGATAATATTATATATTATATATTTGTTTTCCTTATTAATGGAGAACAAAATATCTGTGTAACAAATTAATCATAATATTTATATCAAGTCATTATCTTAATATTATAATCGAAACAGAATATTTTATACATTTTTACACAGATAATCATAGTGGTAAAAAGTTTTTAAATAATAAACCATTTTAGATTGTAAATAAAATTTAAATATCAATGACTTGACTATATTTTTATCAGATGATGAAGATAGTATTCTGGATACTTATGGATATGGGCTAATAAGTAGTGATGAAGTAGAAGATCAAATTAATTTTATAAATCTTTATAAACTGTAGACTTTTAAACTTTATGAGAAGTTTTTAATTATAATAAGTATATTATTAATTAATAATTACTAATATTTTGTTTATTTTGTTGGTTTTCATACTTTTATAAACTTATTATTAAAAATAAGGTGTATAATATCATTTTATTCTTATTAATACATAGTATAATGATGAATTGATGATCATTATTCAATAAAATAATAATCACATTTTTAAATTACCTTTTGTTTAAATATATTGTATTTTTAAAATTAAAGTGTTAGTTCTTAGATTGTTTTGGTGTTGATTTTTATTAAACTTTGTTTTTAAAGTTTTATACTACAATTTTTTTTCAATATGACGTGTAAATTATAATAAAGACTTATAAAATTACTAAGAGATTTATTTTTATTTATTTCCGATTGCAATTTAGAATATTATGTATTATAAAAACTAGAGTTAGTTTATAATAATATTATTAAAACATTTTTTTTTCCTCATAATTAATTTTTTTCCTGTAGAAAAAGGATGAAAATCAAATAAAATAGCCTAATTATGACTTACGGTCATTTATAAAAAGATACTAAAAAAAAAAACAATTGTGATTTCCCATTTAACACTAAAACTAAAAATATTGAAAAAGCTCAATATTAAAAAGTTGAAATCTAGAATAAGAATTTAATTTAGAAAACTTTAAACTGCTCTCCTGAAAAATGATAAAAAGTGAGTTTTTTCAGTTTTGCTTAATTTTTTAAAAAACTACTGGGCATATTAAAAAAGATCTTATTCAGTAACTAGATTAAAAATTCAACAAAAAAACTCTTTTGTTGTTTTTCTATTTTAGAAATATTTTGGTAGAAAATATAAACAAATTTACTTTATATACTTTAAACATTATGATAATTCAATATTATGGAATTATTGTTGAACGACTGCTATAGATACAAATCTGATACATATAGGTACACATAAGGTAAGTAAAAACAATATGAAATATTTGATTTCAGTGTTGTCTACTGTCTACTATCGGAGAAAATAAGAAAAAACTACTTGATTTATTAGGCGAGCAGGTGAAAATGAAAATTACACCTTAATACCTTATTAATCCACTTTGGTTATGTCTAAAGTATAAACTATAAGTACTTCATTTTATAGCACGGACCACGTATATTGATATTATCTATATTACAAATTGAGATATATATTATGGGTCTAGGACACTTCGCCTATGGGCCGATTCGCTGTAATCAATTTACACTAGCCTTTTCGTCGACGGACTTATTTTCTTAAAAGAAATTTACACATTAAAAAAAAAATATCTGATGCTGGGACGGGTGCAGCCACCGTTGTGGGTGGGAAGTATATTTTGGTAAAGTCTGACACATTAAATTATTTAATTTAAATTTGTAATCAACAATAAACCATTACTAACGAAAAACATTCAACTCAAATTTATTAAAGCTTATAAATAAACCTTGTGTTCTTGAAAGAAATTCTGTTTAAAAATGGGAAAGGTTTTTATTTCCATAAATAAGTACAAGGAATATCATAAAATTACCTAAACCCCCCATCGTCATCAATGCACTAGATCGGAGGAACACTTCAATAAATTTGAAGTTTCATGTTTGTAGTTATAATTCTGTTACCTTAAATACCTATTTGTTTTTCCGACATTTCTCGCGTTTGACTGTAGCTAATTACACGAGTCGTAGAAATTGTGGTCTAAGAATCGACACCTACCTATGTAAAATAATTGAAATTTTTTTTTTGTACATAAACACGCGTCTAAACTACATATGATTTCATTTTTCATCCAGTTTTTGTTAACTTTTGGAAAACCTGAAAAATACAATTTTTCAAATTACAGTTTTTTGTAATAAACCAATACCTACTATTAACCGAGCTCCACTCTGAATCATGTTTCTTTAATCTTTATCCTATGGGTCAAATATTATATGCATTATTCACTGTATAGTAAAATTCCAAAATAGTATCTTATCACTTATCATATCAGTTTAATTTGTAAACATTCACCTCTCAGATAACGATTGGTGACCATTTTGTTGGCGACATTTTATCATCTTTATCACTTTTATCTATGTATTTTATACGTATAGACTATAGCAGTCAGCTATCAGTTAGTAACAACTAGAAAACAACTAAAACCAGATAGGTACTGTATCCTCCACAGATATATAAAACAACATTGTTTTATATATTTATAGTATCCCTTCCCACTTAATTAATAATCATCGATATCATAGATAATGTAAGAATAATAGCTTATCTATCTCAATGTCAATAACTAAAAAAATATCAATGTTTACTTTTCATTTATCACCATGACCAAATAGGGTTTATTTAATCATGTTAATCACTTTTCGATAAATTGTATTTGCATTTCATACATTTTTAATTGCTTAATAGGTACGCCTTAATAATATTTCGATATTTTTTTTTTGGAAAATTTGACGTAAACAATATTCATGATGAAACCGGGATTATATAATGATCAAAAGTGTTCACAGCTATTAGGCAAGGATGAAAACGATTCTGTATTACAACTACTCGGCCCAAAATGTCAAGTAAATTTATAACGTTTTTTTACTCTTAATTTTATTTTTATATATCCATACTATTGAAATTATATAATTTGATTTGGCTATGCTTTTAACGTTTTTAGAGTTTATCCATGGCTGTCGTCCAGTTTTTTAGTACTGATGGCCCAGAAGGTACTGAATGGCGTCAAAAGAATTTTGGCATTCTTAGTTTTGTTAAAGATCCAAATAGAAAATCATATTATTTTCGATTATATTGTCCTATAAGACATCAACTACTGTGGGAACATGAAATGTATAATGGATTACATTATCAAACTCCTGCCAAATTCTTTCATTGTTTTGAAGCAGAGGTACAATAAATAAATAAATTCAAATATTTTTTATTTATTATAATCTAACACATTATATGTCATGTTTGTATTGAAAAATACAAATTGTATTTATGAATACTATCTATATTTCATACATTTTATTTAGGAGTGCATTGTTGGATTCAATTATGCAAGTGAAGAAGAAGCAACAATGTTTGAAGAAACTATAGTTAATTTACAAAGAAGAAGACGAGAGAAAAGATTAGGTAACATAGCCCTATTTATAAATGTTTTTTAATTTTAGAAATATTTACATTATTTATAAAAATGTGCATAACATATTGATGTTCAATTGATATTGAATTTTCTTTTTTTTTTAATTGAATTTCATTAAAAATACTTGTTTATTTATCTTTATGATCTATAAGATCTTATATTTGAATTAATATTTTTCAAAATATTATTAGTATTATATTTATATAGTTACAATAAAATACAGAAAATAGAGTTTTTTTTTTTATTAATTTATGACAAAATTTAAAAGGTAATAATATTGGTCAGTTAGTAAATTCAATATTTCAAAATATTTGTCATACAGGGCCACTTATAGTGGGAGTGGAGGGAGCAATAGTGACAACCACTTTAGTCAGTACATTTACTATAGAGTTGGTGTAGTATAATAAGTAATTAATAAGGTAACAGAAGTGTTTAATATACTTTGTACAATTGTTCTTAATATAATTAAGAGTTAAAAAATTAAAATGAAAGTTACTTTTTTAAAGTGATCATAAAACAAAGTAGCGAACTCTTAAAATTAATCACACGTTGTGCAAAATTTCTTAATATGATACTGGTGATATAACAAATTGATTTAAAAATATTCAATAATAATATATAAAATTCTTATTGAAAATATTGAAAGTTTGAGTTAAAGCAATAAACTGTTATTAAATATATCACTTTTTTTTTTTAAGTTTTTATTATTATGTTATTGCAATTTTGATGCTATGTGAATAATTATTATATTTAATAAAGGATGAAGTATATAATCAACATATTTGAAAAAAAATTATACATACATATATATCTTTGTAATATAATGCTGGGTACACTATGTTCAAAAGAAAAAAATAATTTTAACAGAGATAAAATACTGTTAATATCTGTAATAATAATATTCTTTTTTTTTTGATTTCTTTTATGGAGATTAAGCAATTTAAAAGAATAATTACATTTTTACATTTTAAAAATAGCCATTTTATATAAGATAATAATTTATAAATTTTAATGTATAAAAAACATTTATATCAGATCAATGGGTTTTTAGTATTTAGTTATAGCTGTTTTAATTTCTAACACAATAAATAATTTTTATTAGTTACAGAATAAAAAGAAACCCGTTTATTGTAATAATACAATTAAATACTGACTGAATGTTAACTGATAACTGTCAGGTGACAGTTTGTATAGATGTGTGTGTATTATATGTGTATGTAGATTAAAATTTTGAGAAAAATATCTATTACAAATTTTATTTTATTTAATTATTTTAAATTAAGTTATTTTCTTCTGTGATTAAAAATTGATAATAAAAAATGTATTTTCTAAAAATATTTACTCTGAAAGAAAATATAATTGAAAACGAAACATTTATTATTAACAGGGATATAAAATACGTCAAACAGAGTAGTACACTCTGTATATGATTCAATCTCATAATTATAATTTATTGTTGTTATTATTATTTAGAACAAAGATCTAAGTTGCAAAATAATCAAAATAATGTTTCGCAAACTTCTGTACCTAATAGTTCATATGGACCACCTCTTCAAATTAATGGTAGGTATTTGTTATTAAATAATAACAATAATGATGATTTTATAATCTTTTTTAATATTCTTGCAGGTAAAATTCATAAAAATAAAGGCAAAACTTCTAAAAACAAGAAGTATACTAAAGACCAAATTGGTTTACCCGAAAATTTCAGACATGTGCAACATATTGGTTGGGATCCAGATAGAGGATTTGATTTAGGTCAAATAAAAGATCCACAGTTAAATAAATTTTTTGCAAAGGTATGGTATATATTCTGTACAGATCTATTAATACAGAAAGTCATTATATTTTTCATAAAAAATTCAATTTAAATGTTGGTGTTTAGGTATTAAATTTAAATGTTTGATAGTTTAATCTTTTTGTTTGTGGATACTATGCTTAAATGATTATGTTTTTATTTTAAATTATTTGTGGTTGAATGCATTTTTTAATAGGCTGGAGTTTCAGAAAGCCAACTACGAAATCCTCAGACTCGTGATTTTATTTATGATTTTATTGATAAACATGGTGGTATGGATGCTATTAAAGAAGCTGTTCAGGACTCTCCAGTTCCTCCTCCCTTGCCAACTAGGTTTCGCCAAGCTCCACCTCCTCCACCCCTTACAAGTAACATACCACCTGTTAGAAGTCCAGCACCACCACCACCACGGCAGAACAATGTGACTATTCCAGTTAAAAAACAAGGTAATGTGTACATATAAAATTAAATTTTCTATTATTATTTTGTTGGCATTATACCACTGGAAAGTAAAACACAGGAATGTGAGATTCCGGATTGTAAAACATTGAAGTGTAAAATAACAGACCCTAATAATTTTTAACGTAAAAACTCCCCCCAAAAAATAAAATATAAACAATGGTTTCTTAAAATAGTTTTGTTGTATAAGTATCATTTTTGCACAATTGCCATTTACCAGTTATTTATATCAGTGCCTTGATAAAAGATGATAAACATGTCAAAGTCACTATTTATTAGATAATATTGTGGTAGAATGGTAGAAACGCAGAGTTTGGTTAAATAAACTTGTCTATTCATTTTAATCACAGTTATTACGTATTATGGTCTTCAGTTTAAGGCAATGTTGAATCTAATTTCAACAAAATCCAAACCTTTATATTGCCATTAGCAAAATCACTAACGCCCTTCCTATGTTGCTAATCTAACTTTTCATACAGACCTAATAATTAAAACTGCATAATAAAACAGTAGTGTTTTATAAAAGATTCTACTCTTAATTTGTCTTCCCCTTTCAACATCCTTAAACTTAGCCACATCCACAATTTCTGGTGCCCCCAGACTACTAAAAAGAAATTGATGTTTTAATAATTAAAATATATAAAATTTCAAAATGAATGTGCATGCACATTCATTTATCATATACCTATTTTTATTTTGCCAAAAAAATAGATAGTATACTTCATTAAAAAAAAAAAAAATTGAATACTATAATATATACTTCTAGATGATTTTTTCATTCCACCGCCACCACCACCACTAATGAATGTAACAGCACCACCTCCTCCACCGCCACAAATAGAATTATCAAAAATAAATAAACCAGTTGAAACTGTACCAGATACAAGATCTGCACTTTTAGAAGCTATCAGATCCGGTACTACATTGAAGGTATAATGTACTATATTATTTTTGTGAAATAATTTGAATTATTAAAAATTTAATTTGTCCTATAGCATGTCAATACTTCAAATCCTGTAAAAGATTCTAATTCTACTTTACCAAGTTCAAGAAGTAACTTACTTGATCAGATAAGACAAGGCGTAGAATTGAAATCGGTATTATATTATTTTATAATTATGATAAAAATAAAAAATAATGTATAATTGTATTTTATAGGTTCAACCAATTCAAAAGAAGAGTGTAAATAACTTAGAAGGTGATGGTTTAGCTGGAGCATTAGCTAGAGCTTTAGCTGATCGAGCTAGAGTTATCCACAGTGACAGTAGTACTAGTGATTCTAGTGAAGATGATGATGATGATTGGGATGATTAATTCTTCATGCTTATGCTAAACTTTAACTATTTTAATTTATATTTATTGTTATAATATATTTTATTTAATTGATAATTTATAACTAAATATTTTATTTACCATGCATTTCAATAATTGCATTTATATTTTATTGTTATTATGACTACAATGTCATTCAATGATTTATAATGTGATATTAAACATTTTAATTTAACAATTATTTGTATTATATAATTAATGTGTATTTAATGTAAACATAAAAAAAGTATTTACAGTAATATAATTATTTCAATAAAATTCCATATAGTATCTTTGGATTCCGTATTAAAAAAAAGGGGCAATTTTAATTTTATCATATAAAACTAGTTATTGGAGTTTAAATATTATATTAGTTTTTTTTTTTTTTTTATTGACCTGATATGAACAATATTATCATTTTTTTCATTATTAGAATTTTGTTTTATACAATTTCATATCTATATACATATTTGGAAAGTTATAGTTTATTTTTATAGAATAATTTGGTAATATTCAATTAATTGATACAATTCATAGTATTTTTAATAGACATAGTATAAAAAAAAAATTATAAAAACCATTTTAAATTTTGAAATTTTTTATTGCCTCAAAAACTAATACCAAGGACATTTTTAAAGGATATTTATAAAGTAGTTAATAAAAAATTTAATTTGCTTTTGATTTTCAAACATAATATGTGTAACAATTTATTACTCAGAAACAAAATTTGTAAAATAGCAAATTAGTGTAATTTCATCTTGGATTTAATTAATGCATTAAAGGGGTTATTTTTTTAAATTGATCTTGTAGTTGACTTATTATGGGAAATATTTACAGAAAAATGTTTTCTGCAATTTTCTATTTTAGATTTTGAGTAAGACGAAGAAGTTTACAGTTTTAAAAAGATATTTTTTTTTTTATTTGTGTACAACTTTTCTACCAGCTTGCTCAGATTTTTAAGTGTAGCACCTTTTTGAAAGGAAATTGGAGTCATTTGATTTTCTCATCAAATAAGTTAAACTTAAAAAACAGAAAAAAGGGGAAATGTACAAAATATATTAGCGAGTGAAATATTTACGGCACAGAGTGGAGTTCATGATTCCTTTTTTTTTAATTTTTGCAAACAATGTTTTTACCAAAAATATTGCTTCTAGGGACTTTTTTGTTGAGTTATAGTTGAGTTTAAGTCATCAAATTCTGCTTTATAGTACTCTATATGAGGGTGAATGTATCATGTCTATATGTTGTCAATGACTATTCTTTAAATACTTTTCCAGATTGTTTCGAGTTTTAAGTTCAAAAGTTTATGATAATTATAAAAAATAGAAATATTTTAACACATTAAACATATTTAACAGAACTTAGTTAAGACTCATTTTTTATTTGTAACAATATATCATTGCGTACAAATATAAATAAATTACCTTATATATTCTACCTTTCCAATTTCCCAATTACAACAGTGGCCCACCTATAGTACAAAGTATTTTTTTCTAAAAAAGTTTTCCTGTGACCGAGTATTTATTATTGCCCATCATTATTTTTATAATAGGTTATAAACTGTTCTGAAATTACTGGAAATGCTAAAATAGTAATGATAAATTATGATTATGCATGTTGGAAAAGGGTTTATGTTATGTGTGAATTAATGTCATTTAAATCCATCGGAATTATTCATACCTTACATCAATCAACACAGTTTTTCAAGCAGTTATTGATCCCAGTGTTTTCCAGTCTCATAAACTAGCTCTTCTTTTTGAAAAGTAAATTAAATTTACTAAGTAATTACACATCGCAGTAATGGTTATATAATATACTTAATCTCATTCAAAGGCATTGCCATACCAGTGATCTTTGGTTGTGTGGCTAATCTACTCCACTCCGCACTAATTAACGTGTCTGCATATTCCGTACAACCAATTAAAAGAGCACAATTAAATATTTAAAAATCAAAATAATAAAAATAAGACAGTAAATGTTAATGCAAATAAATTGAAGTCACCGCAGAAAGCTGCTTATAATAATAATAATAATAAAAAAAATAGTCATTTAAACTCATTTACCTCAAAACCAGTATTTCCAAATAAGACTCAACATGTAAGTAAAATTCTTGGGGCTATCACTCAAATAACCCTTGTGGCACTGTCTTATAAAATTGTATTAATGTAAATAATCCCAATGTACTCTCATTGCCAGACCCTACCTATTGGCCATACTCCCCCACCTAAAAATTTGATATTTTAGATATATTTATCACCAAAATCACGAGCAATTTACATGGTTTAACTAATATTTTGGATTTAAATTCCGATCATTCATGTGTTACTCAATGTATCCATCACCGCTTTTGCTCAAATTGAACTGCCAAAACTATTTTCTCCTTTAACTGACCGTCTAAAATTTCAAAATATCCCTAACCAACAAATTAATCTAAAAGTTAAACTTAAGTCAAACCATAATATTGATAAAGCGGTAAATAATTTGACTATATAAATACAATAAACCTGATGGGATCAGTAATCATCAATTATCTGATGGTGTCTGATCATATACATTTAATAGTAGAAAAATATAGACCTAGAATCAAATACCAAACCACTAGACTTCCATCTTATAAATCAGCTTACAATAAACTCACCAACTCTTTGAAAAATACTCTTGCAAAATATAAATCATATGCACTCAAACAAAAATTATACTGTCTGTCTGTCATTGATGGGAGTCTATAGAAAGAAACTAAGTAATTACTTTAAAATAAAACTGTTTCTTTTCCACTGCTAAATGCTGACAATTGGCTTGCCATTTCAGAGGTTAAAAAAGTAGAAGTATTTCAAGCCCATCTTTCCAAAACCTTTCATTCCCATGAGGATATTTATATCCTGCAACATATTAATGATATCAAAAAGTGTTTAGATTCTATCTTATCAAATGCTGGCCAAAAAAAAAATATTTCATACCCAAGAAGGTAAAAAATATAATCTTGAAATATTCTCGTAAAAAATCCCCAGAATTTGATCTGATAATGGCTAATGTTGCTAACTGCCTACTAAACAAAGCCATTATACTTTTAACTTACAGTTCCAATGCTTTTTTGACTTTCATACTCTCTACGCTCTGGTAGTTTTCACAAATAGTAATGTTTGCTGAGCCAGATAAATCTCCTGACATTCCACCATATTAGAAACCTATAAGCCTCTAAACATACTTTTAAAAAATTGTAAAAGACTTATCCTCCACTTAATATCAAACAATATAGTCCCATATTCCTAATTTGGTTTCAGAGGCAAACACAACACAATACATTAAGTCCATAGAGTATTGGATGCAATCACTACTTTACTCGAAAATAAATATTACTATACCTGTGCCCTTTTAGAGATCTCCAAGACTTTTGGCAGAGTCTGGCATGAAGGTCTCCTATTCAAAGTCCGTAAATTTCTTCCTCCTACACTATTCCTATAACCTAACCTACAAATCTCTTCTAAAACCTATTTGAATGTATGAAATCTATGGGAAACTTCTGAGGATCTACAAAAAAGGCAAATTTAAATAAAATACAGGCATTCCAAAATATAACATGTCGTAAAATCACTAATGATCCGCCCCTTTGTCTCTAATCAGACCCTTCATCAAGACCCAGGCATCAAAACAGTTGAAGAAGAAGCCATTGTTTTCTATAAACGTTTTTATAATACTAGAAAACCACGAAAATCCTCCGATAAAAAAATTATATATTCTGTCACTTTTTGGGAATCCCCATCATAGACTCAAGAGAAAATGGTGTAGAGATCTTTTGATTTAACCCTAATAATTTAATTCCAAGCTAAGTGCTATCAATGGGTGGCTCCTTCCTCACGCAACCCCAATAATGGTTTTTCCCTTTCTCACATATACTTATTGTGCTTTATTATATAGATTGTGTAATTCTTATACAATTATATATATATAAAAAAATCAATTATTATTGTCAAGTAAATGTCATTTATTACTTTAAATTTTTTTTGTTGTGATATCTTTTTGCAAAGGTTTCTCCAACTAAAAGAGGCAATATGAGTGTTGCATCACCATAAATCTAAAATAATTTTAATAGAAATTTAAATTTGACTTAAACCAGTACAATATATGTACTTACTTTCACGGGTGAAGCGCTGGCTTTAATTTTTCCCCAAGATACAGCTTCGTCAGGCCGGGCTCCAGAATCACTACCATCATATTCACATGCGGTATTTAAATATACAGCAAAATCAGCACCATTTCTCTGAATAAATAAATTAGATATTAAAACTATATAAAAAAAAAAAAAAGGATAATGGGGACAGGTGCAGCCATTCTTATAGGTAATTTAATGTATATCTGTAAGCAACAATAAACCATTGCTAATGAAAAAACAATTCTGAATGGAGTTCAGTTGATAGTAATGCTTTGTCAACAGTACATATTTCATATTATGGAAAAATAATTGCAATTATATGCATTACAATATAATTATTATACTTGTTTAATTAATATTTGTTCAATATTCAGATTTTACTATGTTTTTCCTCAGTTTTTCACATTTGATGAGAAAACTCCTGAGAAAATTAAAAAATTATCTTCTTTTAATACCTTCACAGTCAGATTACCTTTCAAAAAAAGTTCTATCATTGTGAATTGGAGTAAGATTTCTAGTAGAAAAGTTGTGCACAGATAAAAAAAAATATAAACATCTTTGTGAAACTATAAGTTCCTTTGCTCCACTCAGAATCTAAAATGTATAACCATGCTTCTTAAATAATTAGATTTAGATGATTGTGAAACAATTTGTGCGAATGATTATTATGATTAACAAAAAATTTGGCCAAAAAGTTCAGAAATAAAAATCTGATTTTGTTTTAATACTGCACTTTAAACAATAATTCATACAAGGTATAAAGTATTTAAAAATTTTAGTGGAACCTACCATCAAATTAGCATTGCAAATGTGATGTTTAATAACTCCACCTCCAACTATAATTATTCCACTATTTGCTGCTTTAACTGCCATAGTATTCAATCTTCTTAAATCTTTTAAAAATGTATTACATTTAAAACAGTAATAATGATAAAACTAGAGTAAAATATTATATGGTTTACCTCTTAATATATCAATAATAAGACCAGGTTTTCTAAAGGAGTGAAAGTACATCATGTCACCTAAGCTACCATCAGTTAAAGCTGGACAGAATATAGGGATTTTATTTTTGGCTGCCCAATAACATATTGATTGTTCATCATTTATTTCTAATCCTAATCGTTCAATTATTTCAGATGGAGTCCAAGAAACATTCTAAAATAAAAAAACCATTTAAAATAATTAAATTTGTTATGTGAAATTATATTTTCAAAACTAACTTTTTTAAACTTTTGTTCTTCAAGCATCTTGTCTAATATAGGCATCACCCAATCTTCAAACTTGCAATAATTATTATTAGGAACTAATAAATTTCCAATTCTATTGATTCCATCTTCACGGAGAGTACTGCCTTTTAATTCAAAATCTCCTATAAATGTAGGAGATAAACATTTAATTAGGTCTTCTTCAACTCCTCCAGCAGTTGTAACAATACAATCTATCATCTTGTGTTGCACAATAAAGCGTATTGAATCTCTATTGCCACAAGAAACCATATTTGATGTATAACCAAGAAATATAGTGCAATTTGAACTGCGTTTAATAAATTCATCTTCTTCATGGCTATCTTCTTCAAATGGTTTTTCTCTTTCATCTAGCTAATGAAAAATAAATTAATAAAAAAACATACATATATACCTTTATAAATATATATTATATACATTACCATTAATAATGTAAATTAAGGATTTATGTTAATGTTTAATGAATAATATAATTTTTGATTACATAGTTTTATATATGTTATTGACTAGGAATGTGAATTGATATTGGACAACAAAATTAGAAAATTATGGATTCAGTAATATTTCCTAGGTAATAATGTCACTTCCAGTCTTCAGCAATAATTATGAAAAAAAAGTTTAAGAGCCAAACATTTAAATGTATAATAATAAAACACCTATATACTTATAAATGGATGATAAATATTGAACATAAGGTAATTTTTGAAACTATTACTCATTTTGAGTAAAATAAATTGTTTTTTAAAGATAAACAATATTACACAAAAAAAAAAAAAAAACCAAAATACCAAGAAAATTGTCTACATTAATCTTAATTTGTAGGCCACAGTCACTATGTTTTCTAGTTATAACATATTCTATTACAAAGACATACTATAGTAGTATAGCACTTCTAGTTGTGAAAATAAAATAAAATGTATAATTAATATTATCATGGCTTTAAATATTATTAATGTTATGGCAATGGTAAAATATAGTGTCTTTTAAATCAAATTTATTTTATCTTGAGACTAATTTGGCTTCTAAGACCATTTTGTTTCACAATAATTTCTCCAACTATCTCTATGCATCATAAAAATCTCTTAATTTGGTTCATCTCTTAAGCTTCAACATCTTCCTGCCTCATTATTGGCCTTTTCTATTTCAGTTTCTCTTACAGCAATATCCTTAGTAGTTTCGACTTCTTCAGACATATCTAGCTTATAATATTTTTACTTTTTTGATAGTTTCTGAAATGCCCTTTTTTTCAATACATTATTTTCTAACTCTTTATTTTCCTTCAGTTCCACTTTCTGGTCAGGCTATCCCTTATTGGTCTAAAGATAAATTGCAAAATTTTTTTGTTTTTTGAGTATAAATAATTTATTTTCATTCATTTTTCTCAATGACTCAAATCAGTACAATATAACCAATTGTATTATGGCTGTATATAACTGTTTTTACATTTTTCTTGACAGTGATTGTGCAATTAATAAGATTATAAGTTCATAATGACATTTATTTCCTGCTAGAATTCTCAGTAACTTCATTTGTTATATTGGTTTTATTTTTTAAAATTTATCTTCATATCTAAGAATTTAAAATAGTCTACTTTTTTTCAATTCAAATTTATTTACTTTTATGGATATATATATATATAGTGTGTTTCCTTTTTCTCAATAATTTCACAACTAAATAATGTATTACTTTAAATTTTGGTATTAAAATTTTTGATTTCCATCAATTCGTTGACGAGATATTTCACTTTTAAGTTTAGGTAGGGACAGAGTAGTGGAACACTTATAAAATGCACATGCCATGTCGCTACGAAATTGATACTCCACTACTATACTCTTACTTAAACTTAAAAGTGGAATATAATCACCCTGTATACAGGGTTTACTTTAAAAGGTAATACATTATCTAGTAATTTTAATGGCTGGGCATTTATAGCATCACCTAAATTATATTATTGAAATTTATTGGCATAGGAAATATACTTTTTTTATCATATTGTCAAAACAATCTACTAAGAAGTATAATAAAGAGATCCATAGAAGGGAAAAATAGCCAAGAAAGGCTATCACTCAATTATATGAGCCAAAAGTTCAGGATAATATAAATTATAAACATAAAATAAATTAAAGAGAAAACTGAAGAGCGCATTAATAAAGAACTACCAACAAGCCACCCTTTAGACTGTTAAAATGCTAACACAAGAAAAGAAGACATAATTGTATCAATTACAAAATTATTTTATCTCACCATTTTATTAATTTGATCTACAGATAATCCAAAATTTGTGGCCTGGAAACCAGAATATCGATAAACTGATAGTAATTGTTCATAATTGACTCCATTGTTAAAATCGTAACCTATTTTAATAAACGAATTACACTGTGAATAATAAAGTAAAAGTAACAAAAATCATGCTAATAATAATCAGTTTAACCTTTTACAATAGGATTTCCTTCGGAAATGTCAACACTTTTTTTGAGAACGGCTTCATTTGCCAGTTGTGGTTCCATAATCTAAGCTCTAGAGTCTAGGAGTATATGTACAACCGCCAATCACTGAAATATCTAAACAGATAACCAAAATATTCAAAATTATATTATAATATAATCCCTACACGACACTAGACCAAAATAAATTGTATAGTTCGTATATTTTGTAATTACACTTCTTTTCTAATGTCTAATGTAACCTCGGCGCCGAGTCGGCGATAAACATAGAATTTTTAAACCGTGTTATATCTATGTTTGAAGTGTGTAATCACTAATCATATAGATTATATGACAAAATAATTAATATCTTTTTGTCACGTGGAAACCGTTGAAATCGAACAGTACTCATCCAAGAATTATCAAATATTATCAAACTGTTAACTGATATAAATATTTAAAATAAATTAGATAATAATATATAAATTATATTTTTGGATAGATAGCAGTTTTAACAAATTATCAATTTAATTTTATCAATCTAAAATAGTTGCGTCCACAGACGATAGCATAGATTAAGAAGAAACGGACGATAGACATTAGACATCAGTCCATCAGAATATCAGCCAATTAGTATCTATATTCTATGTATTAGACTACAATCATTGATTATTATTGACGATGTGTCAATTCGATTCAAATATTTCAATTTAGATAGTCGGTAAAAATTCATATGTTCAAGTTTGAATAATTCCTCAACCAGGTAATTTCTAAAGTGCAACAATTTAAATGATACGTGTAAGTTTAAAATTCTAGTTGTTTTACAATAATAAGTGCCATGTGTTTTGAATCTTTATATTACGAATGACCTAACAAAATAATAATTATTTTTAGTTGGTAGTTTAGTAGGTATAATGCTTTCAAATGAATTTGAAAGTCTTTACTACACATGGTAAAATTATTGTATAGAAACAATATATATTTTTATTTTCTTTCATGTATATTTATTTTTTATTTTACATTATTTATTATAGTACAGTCTATAAAAAAATATGTTGTTGGTTTTTATAGTCAGCTGTCTGAAAAATCTATCATCCCGCCACTCAGGTTTTTTCAATACCTAGCTCAGTTTTTCAGAATGATACTAAAGTATAAGATTTTTTGAATCTTGAATCCTTAACCCAATATATATATTCATATGGTCAATTATGAACTTTATGTCTTTTTCTTAACGACATTCTCTTCTGTGACGATACCAACACAACCCTTTTAAACAAATTTCATAGAGATTTTCACAAGTATGAATTGTTTGAATAATATTTTTGGATTGTAAAAATTGAATACTTGCATTTTCATCTGGTATTACGGTATAAACATTTTGAAAATTAATTTTTAAATAACAAGATACAAACAATGATGGATGAAAATAACTGCAAAATTTCATTTCACATTTATCAGTTCATTTTTTGGATCATTTTTATCAATGAAATTGCATGATAAAACTGAATTGTACTGGTATAGTATGTTCTTTCCTGTGATTTATGAGTAATTAATAGCTTATTTGATACTATAATCTATTATACTATTATTATAAATCAATAATGGTGGTGAAGTTCCAATAAACCTGAGTCACAAGGCGATATATTTTTCAGATGGTCAGGTAGGATGATATCAAACCAGTACCAAAAATATATGTCATGAAGATAATTTTTGGAGAAATTACCTATTGGTACAACTCTGTGACTTGAGAATAAAATAATTTATGTTGTAAAAATATTAGGATAGGTACATTATTATTTTTCATTTAGTTTTCAATTTAAAATATATACAATTTTGTTTCAGGTTATGGAAATATTGTATTAATAATATAATTTTCTTACATGATGAGTGATAACAATGGACCTAGTTGTAGTAACTCAAATTCTATACCAAGTTGTAGCAAAACAGATTCAATTCAGAGTTGTAACCCAGGTCCATCAAACGAAGATGAAGAACTAACTTTACCACGTGCATCAGTAAACAAAATGATAAAAGATGCTTTACCAAATATACGTGTTGCTAATGATGTACGTGAAATGATAATGAATTGCTGCACAGAATTTATACATTTAGTATCGTCTGAAGCTAATCAAGTATGCATGGCTCAACAAAAAAAAACTATAAACGCTGAACATCTTTTAACTGGTATGTTATAAAAACAAGTCCTTATATATTTTATTCTTCTCCTTCACATTCATCTCAACTATTTAAAGTCGTCCACCCTCATTTTAAACTTTTACTTAACCCAATCTCCCACTCTACATACATTTTTTATTGCTTCAGATTTCTCTTTCCTCGTAAACATGTCCAACCCATCTCACTAAATTTTCTCTCATTTTATTTTCCATCAAAGTCACTACTAAACTATCTCTTATGTACTCATTTCTTGTTCTATCTTCTCGTCATTCCACTCAACTCTACCAATCAACATTTCAAAGTCCTTATATATTTTATTGCTTGAAAAAATATTTTAGCTCTAGACCACTTGGGATTTGGTGATTATCGAACACAAGCAGAAGAAGTTGTTAAAGACTGTAAGTCTAAAAGAAGAAGACAAAGCACAAGACTTGAAAATTTAGGAATACCAGAGGAAGAACTTTTTCGACAACAACAAGAGTTGTTTGCTAAGGTTCATTTTAGAATTAGTTTTATGATTTTTAATTATTTCTAATACATTTAAAATATCTTTAGGCCAGAGAAGAGCAAATGGCTCAAGAACAACAACAATGGCAAGAACTACAAGCTGCAGCCCAACGAGCTGCTATTAAACCAAAGACTGAAGAAAGTAGTGATGAAGATGATTACTCTTAATTAATATTTAACATATTTATAAAAAATTGAAATTCATTATATTTTTTCTAATTTGTCATCAGTTTGCAAATTTTACTTGTAAATAATTTGCTAACAAATTTACATTTTTAAACCACTACATAAATTTCACTTTTATGTCAAATAAATAAAATATCATGTATAATTATACACATAAATAATTTAGAGTTAAAAAATTTCCTTAAACACAATTTAAATAGTAAAGTTATATTGAGAGACAGAGAAACAATGAGATAATTAAGAAGAATGAAGAGTTTGGTAAATATGTAAGTATGGGAGAGATAGGTCATAAAAAAATTGACTTGAGATTATTAGGGGAGATATAAGGATACATAGTAGAGGAAGTGAAAGTCCTTCAAGGACCATAAGAGCTTAAGAAGTAAGATCATGTGGATTAGTTGATAACAAGATAAATATGATAAAAATAACTGAACCCTCTATAAATAATTAATTAAACATTTTGTACGAATACATATTAAAGGATATACTAATTTATTGATCTCACATAGGCAATTTTTACAATAAAAATAAAGGTATACTGTACTGATAAATATAAATGACATGGTTAATGGTTATCTATGGAAAAATATTTCTGGCTTCCAACAGTGGCTATACTCATTTAATTTTGATGAAACACAATACAGTAAATGATTAAAAATCTAGACAAAAATTTGAACATAAGTCCATTATTATACTATTTTTGTTATCGGATTATTTAAAATTTTATTTTCCTTTTTATAATGTTTATTTGTGATTTATTATTATTTAAATGTGCGATCCCAATTACAATAATTGTATTAAATGTGGAACTTATTAATTAAAATATGTGGAGATCAATTTACATTTAAGTTATTAAACTACTAAGATATCAATATTAAAATTTGCAAGTTGCATAAATTTAATTGTAGAAGAATTCTTGCTATTTAAAATATGTTGTTATATATTATATTTCAACTTAATACCGGTCCCGATAAATACAGTTCCTGACATTTATTTTAAATTATTCAGTTATAAAAATCCTCAGAAATATATTTCCAACAAAATATCTTCTTTTCCTTTATCTTAATTCGCCACCATTGTATTAAACTTCAATTTGACATGATTCCCCATACAATTTATTTTCCTATTCTTCTAAAATCATAATCTATATAAGTATTAACTATCAAGTATCCTCTACATATAATTAGTCCCTTTTCGTCATGTGTTCTCTATTACTTAAAGTGAATTGTGATACTAGTTATTATTTGCTTACATTTTACTTTCCTGAAATTTATCGTTCTTTTAAAATGTTTTCCAATTAAATATTAATATTTTCGTTTACGGTCTACCCTTCTATACTTATCTACGCTTAAAAACAAATCAACAAAATAATTGCCGCTTCCAATTGTATCATTTCTTCTTATCATTTGTTTTTTGTAAATGATTGAATATGAGAATTGATAAGAAATTAATCATTTTATGAATAACAAATATCAGAATTTTTTTTCTTCAACTTTAATTTTAATTCATCTTTTATCATGAAAAATGTATTCAATGTAAGGTAAAATTATTTTGATCAGTATGAGAGAAAAGCGAACGCCTGTTAAACAAAACCCAATATTAAAAGTAGTGATTTTGGGTGATAGCAATGTTGGAAAATCATGTCTGATGAACAGGTTTGTAAGTAATAGTTTTAGTGATCACACACTTCATACTCTGGGTGTAGAATTTCTTCAAAAAGAACTCGACGTTAATGGAATAGTATACACTTTACAGGTATAGCTGAACATTTTTTATTCATAGACAAAATGTATTAGATAATTATATATTCTAATATAGGTGTATTTTAGATATGGGACACCGCCGGCCAAGAAAGATTTCGAACGTTAAGAACGCCATTTTATAGAGGCACTGATATTTGTTTATTAACATTTGCCGTTGATGATATTCAAAGTTTTAAAAATGTAGATTCTTGGAAAAGAGAATTTCTAAAATATTCTAGGACAACCGATATAAATTTTCCATTCCTTGTTGTTGCTACAAAGGTATAAAAAAAAACAAATATATATATTTTTAATTTTGAAAATAAAATAATTTTATTTAGGTTGATTTAGAAAAACGCATAGTTCCAAAAGATGAAGCAGACAAGTGGTGTTCAGAATATCTTAGTATTCCGTATGTAGAAACTAGTTCTAAGACAGATATGAATATTGAGACTGCCTTTGCTTTAGCCGTTGAACTTTGGGCCTCAACTGAAAGACCTTCTGAATTAAAAATATCACATCATAATTTAGTCAAATTATCTAGACCAATCAATGGCAATGCTGCTTGTCCTACAGCAGAAACAGTATCATCAAAATGTTGTTAAAACTTTAAAAGCTTATTAACTATATTTAACATTTTATAAATCAATTTTTAGTTGAGAATTTTTTAATTTTTGAAAATGGCAATATTTTATTATTACATTACATACATATTATATAATATGGTTTTTTATACACAAATGTTTAAATCTTAATTTATAATGAAATAATTAAAATAGTATTATATGCCTCCTATCATTATGTACACATTTTAAGAATGATATATTATTATTTATTTTTCATTTATTATGATTGTATTTGTTTATATTGGTATTTTTTAAATTTATTTTTATGGTACTTAATATTTTAATAATGTAGGTTTAATTGATTCTTCTTTATACTACTGTTGAACACCAGTTTTTATCAACTATCACGTAATTTGAATTTAATGTAAATTGAAAAATTTCTTTCATCACAAAAATTGGTCCAAGAGCCCCACGACCTTTGCAGCTTAACCTGCCAGGTACCATTATATTCTCAAAGTAAACAAGTTACTGCAGCTGTATTTTACATATTGATTCACAAACATTAAGAAGTATTTATGAAAACAATTGGCACAAAATGGTCACTATGTTTATTATGACCATGGCTTAGTTTTTGAGGTGTAAATTTAATTTTAAAATAAAAATAAATATTTCTATAAAACAATATGTAAGTAATTTCTAAAACTTACAATATTTGAATGTATCTCAACTATTAACCTTTAAATGTGTTTAATAAGCTACAATTCTGTTTTCCGTGAAAAAACATTCCAATAATTTTATTAAAATAATCCATTTGTATCGTATTTTAATTTGGTATTTAAAATAATATTTTGTTTAAAATGAAACATTTATTATTAGATCGTCACTATCACGTTGTATTATTTCTAAATGTATACTTAATAATATAAAATTAAATGGACACAACATATATATTTTTGAGTTATTAAATTCTTCCTTGGTTGGACATTTTAACTTTTTAAACTATACATATTTGACATTAATGTTATAAATCATAAATGTATTTTGTATAACAATTAACGTAAAATTAAAAATGATGTTTCGAAACAAACGAATAATATATTTGTTAATAATATCAAATATTACAACTTAAATATATTACAGTATAATCTATAAGATAATTATTATTTATTTTATATAATTTAATTAGCAAACAAAATAGATTATTTAGTATTTACCTAATAACTTTAATTAATCAACAAAAATGAATAAATAACAAATTATAAGTTCCTGGTTTAACTATAAATACATATATTTTAAAGAAATTTCATAACAACTTTGATTTTAAAATAAATAGGTATGTTAACACTTATACTAAAATTAAATAAATATTTTAAATAATCATTAGATGCTTCTATAATATATAGCTATGTAATTTTTTTTTATTTTTTTTTGTTAATTGTTATACATTGTTTTTGATTGATTATACATAATTACATATTTGCAGTGAATTCATAGGTACCTAATTTAAATATTTGATCAAATTATCAATTCAATTGATATTATATTAATAACATTAAATTGTTGTACGTTTTTAAATGATGAAAAAAAAAAATTTGTAACTTTTATTCAAATTTAAGTAAATTATTTTCATTTCCATTTTAGAATTTTAGATAGTAATTTCTATTCTAACTTAATTCGTTTTTATAATAAAATAACAATACTGACTATAGTTAAAAAAAATGGCTAACTTGTCCAGTTTTAGAAACTGCATTTGATAAATTCAACCCCATTTTTAAATAAAAAGTAAACAGTCTTATATAAAAAAAGACGGACATACTTCGCACGATGGATGCAGCCAATGTTGTTGAAAATTTAGGAATGTAGGATATAGAAGGAAAATTAATTTGTATTTGTAAGTAACGATAAACCACTGAGCAGATTCATTACGATTTTTGATTTTAATTTCAAAAACGTTCTTAAGGAAAACGCTAATTTTTTTGAAAAAGGAGGTAAATCACATTATCATTTTTATTTATCACATTTTTTAAACATGCCCGATAATCACATATGGTATATCAAATAGTGTGACCAACTTAGCTTATTTTTATTATTATTCATATCAATAATGTGGAACAAATTATATTAGACAAATGCAAGTGTACCTCGCATTCAAATCTGCCCCATTTTCCCTTAGATACTGTTGGTCGACCATATTTTTCATATCACAGCAGCTTCAAGTACCACAGTATCAATTTTTATTGAACATTCGATCATGTACGTACATATTATATTTTATAATATACGCCACGGGGATCATTGGCGTCATGTTTAGGTACACACAGTTCGATAATACGGTTAATAAACATAATCTACAGTGCCCTAGTACAGTATGTGATTTACAAGATGGGGCTCGACTCCCGTAGTTTTTATTCATATCTATCTCGTACCACAAAATAAGTATTAATTTTATTTCAAACATGAAAAATCGCTCAAATGCTTCTTTTTACCCACACCTGAAACAGTGAGCCCCAGTGATATTTTAAAAACTTGGTGCCTATTGCGGTAAACGCTTTATCAAATCATTTGTAAATAGGTATCTATTTGTTTTGTCGTTGCGTGAATGACTTGGACTTCGACATAGTTCTTCGCTCTTTCCGACTACCTAAGCCTGCGGGACGGCTGGGCGTACGCGTGCTCGTCGTGCTAACGCCTTTTTCTGGCGGGCGATTTATTATTTCCTGTAAAAAACTATGTATAGGAAAAGAGAACAACTATGTAAAAACTAAGAAATTCACCCTGTAGGTGTGATAGTACCCCCTTGTATGTTCTAAATTGCATCAAGTATTGCTGTAGACAATAATATATTAGTCAGAACTGTTTTATTATAATTTAATAAAAGTACTTAGTGAACAGCGATTAAGTATTCTAGTAAAGTTTTACAGTACGTCCCACAAAGATATTATATCCACTGCAATATCTCCTGTGATTTATTTATTTATTATATATATTATGTATTAATTAGATTGGAATTTAATTGAATATCAATCATAAAAATAGAGACGACAGTCCATATTTTATTATTTTTTTAAAATTTGTTAATAGCCATTCAATTATAAAAGGCTTAATTTAAAATGTATTAAACTCTATTAATTAGATCTAATTTTGATATAATTCCTAAGATGAAGAAATTTAGGGCCGGTCACGACATTACAATAATAAGTTTTGATCCGGTTACTATGTAACGCTACAATGGTTCTTAAATTTATGATTGAATTATCGAAGAGTAATCGGATGAGGACGGCGAAACTTGTAAAATCAACACTCGATGGGTTAATAAGCTGTGTGCCAAAAATTAAAACTACAAAACGTTCTCTAACTATATTATATTCCCGAGATTTTTGAAACTATCTATGAGTCTATGACAGATAATATACATTAGACCACTAGAGCCACTAGAGCGTTAGTCGAAATTCCTTTTAGAGTCTAGCAAATAGCAATACTCGTATAGAAATCTATAGGTTCGTTGTGCAATCTGTCTTGAACTTTGTTGCGGACAGTGGGTACATTTCAAGAAAGCAAACAAAAAACGGTTTATATCAAATACACCTAGATATTCAGTTTATCTAATTCGGAGTTTTCGTAAAATTGATAAGAGGCCAGCTACTATATTTCAACGTTGCCAATTTATACGAATTTTTTTTTAATTGTACGGTTTATTCATAACTGCCAAGTGCCAACCGATATTTCCTAAAGTATAATTGTACCATATTCTAATATTTTGTATTTTTCCATAATCGCATTTTTGCGATAACCAATAAGTACCTAATACAGCTTTACATTAATAAGTTATAGTATTAAACTAATTAAAGGTACTTCATCTATAATGCTCTTCACTTTTTTTGTTACTTACCCGACATGGTTTTACACAACAAAATACAAATCTAGTGTTATTTTCGATTAACATTGTTCGAGTGAGCGATCATCTTAGGTCTCTAGTTCCACCTATAACGCATTTTCAATTTTTTGACGTGGTTTTGCCCAAGACCGGTTATCATGAATACATAATTTAAAATAATATTTTTCTGCGTTGTTGGTGTAACTACATTTTTAATCCAACTTTTTTTTCTGAACGTTGGTGTTCCTGCGGACCGATATGGCTACGATTTCTTATCATTTTTCTGAAAACTGTATACTACCCTACCTAATTATCCTTTTTCGTTCCCTACTCCTTAGACCTTAATAGTGTATCACCATTTACCGTAATTCTCCATCTACTATTCCACTATCCAGTATTAAAGTATAATGTTATTCATGTCTATTATTTTATGTGTTTGGTAATCTATGTGTAAAACTAAAGTTGATTTATTCTTTTGAGTAAATTAGTTACCGAAGTATTTTTACGTTACGTGGTTAAAATTCAAATATGTAAGTATTTTTTAACACATTAGATAATCACATGGTACCTGTCAAAATATAATAGTCATTAGTTACTTAATTTTAATGTTATTTTCAAATTGTTTCTATTTAGTTAATTTGTTTACAATATATTATATTATAATGTTTATACATTTACATTACATGTGATTATATTATGTATGTTTTTCAGCGGCTCGGGTGAATGTCTTTTAAATACCTATACCTAAATTATAACTAAACTAAAAATTTTTAATAATGTTAACTGTATTCGTCTGTTTTTGAGTTTTGTTTCCTTTATTTTGAGGCATTAAAAACTATTTTGTTTTTAAATTTTCTTAGTGCAAGGTACATTCACTATTACTGCATTAAGGCATAAAGTAATAAAGCATTGAAATCATAATATACTTATATTAGCATTGTAAACAATAATTTTGTTCTCTTGAATAATGTTAGAAATTTGAATAACTAGATGGTTTATAGTTTTTTAATATTTAGTTATTATTACGTTTGTTTGAATTTAGAAGACGGAAATATGTCGAAGCACCGTGAATGGGATCCTACTTGTAAAGTTTATATTGGAAATTTAAAGAGCAATGCTAGTAAATATGAAATAGAAGATTTGTTTACCAAGTATGGACCGTTAAAAAATATTTGGATTGCAAGAAATCCTCCTGGTTTTGCATTTATAGAGTATGAAGACCCACGTGATGCAGAAGATGCTGTTCGAGGTTTAGATGGAACGTAAGATATTAAAATTTCTGAAAATTAATAAAGAGATTTTAAGAATATGACATTTAACTAGTTTAGTTAATATTATTGATTACAAGAAATCCTGGCATAATTCTAGTTTTATTTCCATGCGATTTTTGAGGGGTTTTTGTATTTCAAAATTTGTGTTTTTGCGTGTACATTAGGAATATATAAAAAAGAATCTGACAAACTTTGAAAGTTGTGGGGGAAAACTTCATGAAGTTCAGGTTTTCCGTTTTGCATGTTTCTTAATTAGAATTTAACATTTTCCAAATTTTGTTATTCTGATTGTATTTTTTAATGCTTGGTTCATTGGTATTATAAAAACTTATCTATCATACTTTTATAGTTTTTATACATAAACCTTAAAAAACAGCGTTTTTGGAATTGATCCAAACATTTTTACAATTATTATTATTTGTAGTTATTAATATTTTGATAACAAAGTTTTTTTTTTTATTGAAGTCTGAAAAAGTCTGTCTAACTTGGTTTTAGAGTTACAAATGTTTAAACGCGCTTTTTACAGTGCTTACTCGGATCATTTTAATCGGAAATATAAAAAAAAACTAAATCATTGATTGTTGTTAAAATCTTAAATCATAATTCATAACATTATCGTCTATTAATCAATTATTCATATCATTTAAACCCTTGGTCAAATAAAATATGATCTTATTTTTTTTTTTATTATTATTAATATTAATTTATGATAAATATTATCAGTTATCCCTGTCAGATATTACTATGTTGATAACTTTTACTGTATGAAATATACTAATAAAATCAATTTTTCTACTTATTTATTATTAATATTAATTTATGATGAATATTATCAGTTATCCCTGTCAGATATTACTATTGTCAGATATTACTATGTTGATAACTCTTTTTAACTGAAATATACTTATAAAATCAATTTTTCTACTTATCTATTATTATATTAATTTATGATGAATATTATCAGTTATCCCTGTCAGATATTACTATGTTGATAACTTTTACTGTCTGAAATAAACTAATTAAAGCAATTTGTCTACTTACCTATTATTAATATTAATTTATGATGAATATTATCAGTTATCCCTGTCAGATGTTTCCATGTTGATAACTCTTTTTAACTGAAATATATTAATAAATCAATTTTTCTACTTATCTATTATTATATTAATTTATGATGAACATTATCAGTTATCCCTGTCAGATATTACTATGTTGATAACTTTTGTTGACTGAAATAAACTAATAGGTAAATGTAACTTTTTAATTATATTTTTATTAATGTTAATTTGTAATGAACATTATCAGTTATCTCTGTCAAATTTTACTATGCTAATAACTTTTGTTGGCCGAAATAAATGAAATAATTTAATGTTTTAATTCTTTTATTATTACTAGTGTAGATTTTTATATGTCATAAAAAACTCAAAATATATAATTATTTATGTAAATATTTTTGCCAAAATATGTTATATAAAAATTGTATATATAATTAATTTCAAATCTTGATCATAAAATAATTATTTGTTGATTAAGTTTATTATAGAAATTATTATATATTTTATTTATTTATTTGTATTGCTGCTTTCTCGGAAACAACTTACACTTGGAGATTTTTAAATAATGTATGGTGGTCAAGTGGAACATTCAATGTCAACCGAGGAAAATGGGGAATATTTCATACTTGATATATGGAGATTGTGTAAATTTGATATCCATTGATATTTTCATTTTCATTCAGAATTATATTTCTAGTAGCTTTTAATATTATACTGGTTATTGTCAATATTTCTGTTAAATGTGTGTACAAATCATATATATATTGGTAAAATGTTTAAAAATGTGTATTTACATCAAAATATGTTGTATTGTGTAATCTAATAAAGTCTTGTTTTATCCAGGGTTTTATGAAACATGCTTAATTTTAATCAGATTTATGAATTTGCATTCAATAAAATTATATCTTTACATACAAATCCGCGTCTTAATTATTACTATTAATAATGTATAATATCAGTTATCCCTGGCAGATATTATTATATTTATAACTTTTGCTGTCTGAAATTTTAAATATTTAGTTAAATTTTATATAATGCAATTTTAAGTATGACAATTATTAATGATAAATCTTTATTTTAACGCTTATTTTTGAGCACCATATGTTAAGCCTTTATTAAGCGCAGTACTAAGTTTTTTTTCTTTACACAGTTGTCTTTGGTTTCTTTATATTTATCTTTTCTATTTTTTGATGGGATATAGTATTCTTATTTGGCATCTTTTTCTTGCCAAGGACCAACCTCTGGCTATATTATTACAATCTATTTGCTGTCCCATAGTTATTATATCTGTTAATATTTACTTGTAACTTTTCTGTGAACACAGGTGTATATTTTTGGTAAATTAAACTAATTAAATATCAATTATTCTTGCGAGATATTACTATGTTGATAATTATTATTCTAATGGTTTTACTGTTATGTTTTTCTCTTTTGATGTTTTCTTGCACTGCTTAAATTATGTACAGTTTTCTTTCAAATTTAATCATGATCATTAGGGTTTAGAAATTATAGGAGTTAAAATAAATGAAATATATATGCAGTGAAACCTCCCTTAATGGACACTTCTAAATAGCGGATGTTTTTTTGGAAATGTGGTCATTTTCACTATTTATATATAGAAAAACCACTAAATACAGGACATTCTAAATAACTGACACTTTTTTAACATTAATATTGATAATTTTTATCACAAATTAAGAATAATTGTGGAATAAATAAAAGTTTACACCGTTAAGTTATCTTTTATAACTATTTATGTATATTATTATTCTGTACCTACATGTATATCTTATATTATCCAAACAGTTGTTAAAATATTATTGAGTCAATGAAATGCAACTTTAAGATGTATTCACTTAATGTAAAATGGAATAAAATTTATTTAATTAATTAATTAAATACAAATATAATTTCTCTCTTTAATTCTACCTCTGAATAGCTGACAAAATTTAAGCAAACGAGAGTATCTGATATTTAGAGGTTTCACTGTAGATATAAATGTATGTAAAATATGGCAAAAAAATGCTTGCTATTTTCGATTTAATTAAACTGAAAAACCAAATTAATATATTTATGATATGATAATATTTTGGACATGCACACAATACAAATTAAAATATACTTATGCACAAAAAAAATAAATATTTACATTAATTAATATTACATTTTTTAATTCATTATTATTTAAAATACATAGGTTAAAAAAAAAGATACAGATATACTTCACACAGTGGGTGAACCATTGTTTTAGGTGAAAAGTTGGAAAGGCAGAGGCGAAATGTAATATATATCTGTATGCAACAATTAACCATTTGAAATAACTAAAAATGATTCTGAGAGGAGTTATGTTAAAAGTGTTGTTTTGTAATATTTTCAAATTTCATCAAAATTTGAAATTGAAATTCTTATAAAACAAAAAAAAAATATACTACATTAAACTTTATTTAAAAATCACAAAGTGCAAAGACTTGCAATGAACCTTCTGTTCAATTTTCTATCATTTTTGTTTGGTCCAATAATTTTATTCACAGATTGTCTTTCAAACTGTTTAATATTAACAGTTTTTTACTTGCAATATTTTCTGAAAATGAATGATTTTCTAAGAAAAATAGTAAAACCTTAACTTATTTAATTTATATTTTAATATAAATAGTTCAATCAAAATGTTCCTGGAATGTACAAATCGTACGCCAATTGAGTGTCAAATATTAGCAGAGTTTGTATTACAGGCTTTTATAACTTTTCTTGAGCAAATTTGATTTTGTAGATTCTTTTTAACTTTCTTAGTTTTGATCAAACTATTATTTTTGTAAAATATGTTTTTTGTATTTATGTAACATATTATTTAAAGCTTAAAATCATTAAAACAGTTTTTGGATATTTAAATAAATATTTTAGTAGTTTAGTTTTTAAAACTATTTTACACGTAAACTTTGTTACAAAATATGCATACAGTGAAAAATCTTTATAATAAATCCTAAGGGGTACTAAGAGATTTCTTTGTTATAGATAGTTTTCACAACAGAGAAGGAGACGAATTCTAATAGTATTTATTTTGTATGGGTTATAAAGTCAACCAACCATTATTAAGTAATTTTTACATTACATATAGTTTTTCGTTAAAAAGAGTTTTCACTGCATATATTATTACAAGTCATACAAATGTTTAATATTCTTGAGGAAGGTGTTTGGTGATTTTCATATGTAGTAAAATAATTTGACCAATATTATTTCAAAATATAAAAATTCTAAGTAAAAGTACGTAAAATGGTATTATTTATTTAAATTAAATAAACACTGTAATTTAAGATAATTGTCTCACATGATTGTTCTTCTTTTATTGGCACAGTGCATTAAATGATCTTTTATTCAACCTATTTCTGTTCAGAGTTTGTTTATTGTGCATTAAACTAGTCATGCTTCTTTGTGACCTGATGACAGTGATTCATTTAGAACCCAACTCGATGTACCTACTAATCTGATTTTGTCATCTAGTGTTTCATCCACTTCAAAATTAGTTTATGAAATTACCCTTTGTATTATTCATACAAAATTTTTCTTAACTTTAAACATAAGTGATGATAAGTTTCGCCAAACATAAGATGTCACAAGTCTGGTGTTGTTTTTCCTGTCTAAGTGGTTGGAGCAATCCCTGAAAGTATGTATAATTATTGAACAGGTGTATTATTCAGACACCCTGTAATATCAGTTGATGGGATTTGTTAAGTATAACATTAATTATTTTGATGTGTGACAAACTGTACTTGTGTAGTCTTCCACTGAGAAGTCATTATCACTATAGTTCTTAGGATGTGAGGATTTCAGCTCTATATAGAGTTGTTGAGTTTCCGCATTATTTTATTTTTCGTTATGTTTTATTTAGTATTCTCAGTGGCATCTGAGTGAGCGGTCAAACATTACTCCTAGATATTTAGGGTGTTGTGCATTTTGTTATTTTCATCCCGTCCAAGTCAACACAGGAAGTAAAAACTGGCAGTATTAATAAGAATAGCTACTAAATAAATAGGAAATCTATTATATTAGTTAAAACATGATTGCTGAATAGGCTTTCTTGACTTGTTTATTTTTTTAATACATTTAATAATGCATGTGTTTTAATTATTTGAGATATATATATGTATATATTTGTTATATGAACACTAGCTTAGTTCATATGCTAATTTAATGTTTTTGTCATCTTTTATTTAAAAATAAAAAATAATATTTTTAATGCATTTTTAGATATTTTCTGTTTTAATCTTCATATGAGGTATATATAAAAATATTAGTTTTAAATGTATCAAAATATTTATTTTTCATTTAATTTTGTTTAAACTGGACATTTTTGAAAATAATACTTATGTTTATAATATTTATTTTCAGTTTTCCTAATTAGACTTCAAATATATCATGGTGATGGCTGTTTTTTTTTTGAAAATTATTTATTTATTTTAATTAATGTTAAAGTATAACTTATTCATGTCTTTAAATAATTATACATTGGTTTATAATTTATAAACGTAAAAAATAACTATGTAATTATATATTACTTTACAAAATTCAAATTATTTTTAGGAGATGTTGTGGATCCAGAATTATTGTTCAAATGTCTACTGGAAAACGTCGCCCCAAAGATAGATCACCTGATTATAGGCAAGTTATTTTAATTAATTTAAAATGCTTTTATGATATTTTTACTTTATATTGTATATGTTAATGGTGTTATAAGCGATCTACCTTAATATCCACGATCTATACATGTAGCTCACTGGTGTTATAATCTACCAATTGGTTAGTGGCATAAGCAAAATATTGTTAAGATAATAATAAATCCTTTATAATTATGCTATTATGTAAATATTATAAATTAAAAAAGTATGTTACTTAAACTATTATTTAAATATATACTATATCAAAAGGAAATAAATAATTTACCTAAACAATATACAATGTTGGAAACAATAACTCCTATGTACTAATGTACTATGTACTGGCGGTAGAATTAAGAATATTGTTTTGCAGTGTTATCACAGGGCCTAATTTGATAATTAATAATGGGGATTGCTTGTCAATCATTATCTTGTTATTAGTTTTTACATTGTAGTGTGGAATCCTTTTTATAGAACTGTGTGTTGTAAATCACTAAAAAATTACAGTGGATCATTTACAACACCATTACCATGTATGCAAATGTCATGTTTTATAGTTTTTATATTATAGATAATATAAATGTTATTTAATATCTGTGAAGGGTTAAATGTTATTTCTTTAAATATAATATGTTAATAATTTTTAAATTAATTAGTTTCAAACCTTTTAACAGGTTATTTATTATAGATTCAACTCTATTGAATTCTCCATCATCACCACCACTACTACATCTACCATCACCTTTCAACACAGTACTACCAACTTGAGCAAGCAACAAACAACAGGGGGTGTAAACTTCTTAAATCTCAATTAGGCTTTTTTTATTTATATGTTTTTTACTGTCAAATCTCACAATTTCAGTACAAAAACAACAAATTAGTATTTGTAATTTACCTTTCTAGCTACTGCAACGTGCTTCGAACATCCCACCACATCGTTTTTGCATCGCTCATCGTTCATCGTAATTTGGGTTGAATTTTATGTATGCATATAAAAAATATTACATTGTAGGATATTTTATTATTTGAAGTTTATGATAAAAATTTTATCTCTGAAACTAGATCATATGAAATCCTTAATAATAATTAATATATAAAACAATTACATTTGTAGTAGAACCTCTATAATACAGTAATTGAGATGGTACATAATACATATATACAATGGTATTAGTTTGCGATTTACTGTAAATTAGAGGTTTTACTTTTTATAATTTGATGCTCTTTTTATATATTTAATTTATTTTAGAGGCAGAGTTTCACCTCCAGGTCGTTCTTATCGGTCATATTCTCGTTCACTTTCAAGAAGCCGTTCACCTGTTTACAGAGATAGACGATCTCGTTCAAGGTCATACTCCAGAAGAAGATACTAAATTTGACACTGTAAAACATCTATTCAGTTTAAAAAAAAAGTATAAATTGAATAATATATTTAAATTAGTTTTAGCAAGGAAAAAATATTATAAATTGAGAAATTCACTTATCAATCATCAAGTACTTAAATAGTGATGTGTTAAATAATTAAAGAGATTGGTTTACTTGTTTTATTATGTACGTAATTTGTTTATTTTATATTTTAAAGATTTGGGTTAATATATTTGTATTTAATTTTTTTTTTATTAATATGAATATCCTAAAAGACAATAATGTAACACTACTTTATTATTTATTATTTTTCTTATTTTAAAATGGGGCCTATTTTTATGATTAATGGTTATTATAATTAATTAATTAATAATTTAACTATGTATACATTTTTTTAAATATATATGTAATACTAATTAAGTTTTATGTGTTTAGAGAATATTTTTGTTTTTTCTTTTGTACTTCAAGACTACTGCTATTAAAGTATATGTATATCTGTACTAATTTATAGCTTATAAATTTAAAAACATGTTTAATAATTTACAACTGATACTGTGTTTTGATATCCTTATTTGGGTTATATTTAAATGTTTTATGTAAAATGATTTAAAGTAAACAACTATTGTTTTCTTATACTTAATAATTTTATATTGGAGTGCTAAAATGTATTACTTAAGTTATTAAAGATTTCAATGCAGATTTAGTTGCTCTACAAGAAGTCAGATGGCCAGAGGGTTAGGGCACTTTAAATCAGATAATATGACATGAATATGTTGTGGTTTTTATTTTAAAAGAATAGTAAAGAATATAACTTCAGTCTTTATTCTTTATAGACTTAAGAGAAAACAACTTAAATATTAACAAAATTATAAAATAAAAATACAAAATAATATTAATTTACAGAGTAAAGGATATTTGCCTATATTTTGTTTTTGAAAACTCATCAATAATAATACTAGGATTATATTAACTACTTAATTTTCTTCCAATTGATAATATTGCAGTATTATAAAGGTGCTTAGTGGTCATTGTTGATTTTAAATATGTTTTAATCCTACCTATTGCTTAAAAACTTCTTTCTGCTCCTGCACATGCCACAGGAATAACCAGAATTCTAGTAATTATTTTTTTTTATTCCATTAAATTCTGGTTTTAAACTTGTGGATATCAGAAATATTACCTGCTTTATTCAACATTGTTTTTACCAATTTACCTCTGATACAATGCAGAAATTACTTAATGCATTTTGGTATACAGATAGCTATTGTGATGTAGGCATTCATTAAGAAAGGATTTTTGAAAATTCAACCACCTAAGGCAGCGGTTCTCAACCTTTTTTCATTCACGCACCCCCTGACCACTCACTACTACTTTACGGACCCCCAAATGCCAATTTTTCATATATTTTCACATAAGATAGATATGAATTAACGAAATAAGTTTAATAATGAAAAATTTGATTTATTTTGATCAACATGCGCAATACATTGTATATATAAAAATAATATTGAGTTAAAAATGTAATTTTAATGTGATCCTTGANGTCTGAACAAACCGAGAGTCTATTGCGGTACTTATTTTTAATACATGTGTATGACAAAAAGGCTCTCTCCACTAATACAGAGCTCGTAAACGGTAGTAAAACATTGAATGCTTTGTAAGCACAACAAATTTCAATTTTTCCGCCATTACGCTTTTTTTTCCGGGGACCCCCTAATACCTTCTCGGGGACCCCTGGTTGAGAACCGCTGACCTAAGGTGATAAAATAAGGGTTTTTAGGTATTTTAGGCACGAATATCTAATTATAGATTACCTCGGTGATACGGAATACAGATGAAATTAAAAAAAATTGGCCCGGGCAACGTCAGATGGGACAGCTAGATATAATATATATTTAACATAGGTATGACGGGAGTTTCAGTAAATATTGTTTAATTTGTTTAATTGTTAAATAATCTTATTAATATCACAAATGTGACAATTTGTAAGGATGTATGGATGGATGTTACTCTTTCACACAAAAACTATTGAACGGATTTTGATGAAATTTACAGTATTATTGTTTGTAAATCAGAATAATATATAGGCTATAATTTATAATCGGCCTACTTATAACGATGAGTGTTAGGTAAGTTGGAAAATATTATGAATATGAAAGTAATTTTGTTTGTTACGTTTTCACACCTGAATCGCTGAATCAACTTCGATAAATTTTGTTATAGAGATAGATGGGACGATCCTTGGAGAAAAGCAAGCTACTTTTTTCGCGAAAATAAAATTTGAAAGGTTTTTAGGTAGGTATTTTCAGTGCGAAAACTAAATTATTTTTGTTGAATTAAAGATTAACTTAGTAACACAGATGAAATAAAAAAATAAATAATAAACAAATAAAAAAGGTTGGACATACTTCGCACGAGGGTGCAGCCATTGTTGTAGGTGGGAAGTTGGTGAGGTAGGGTACCGACGGGAATTTAATGTAGGTATATCTGTAAGCAATGATAAACCATTGCTAACAAAAAAACGATTCTGAGAGGAGTTCAGTTGATTGTGTTGCTTAGTCAACAATATTGTTTGGTATATGTCATATTATGATAAAATAATTAAAACTATGCATTTCCATGACAACAATGATAATTTAAAAAATATTAAAATAATAAAAACTTAATAATAACAATAAATAAATAAAAAGGTTGCAATGATAACCTTATTTTTAATGTTTATTTATTCATTTATTCAAATATACAGACAGATAATCCTATTACAAATTAGTAAAATCTAAGTGATAAAAAGTTGTACACCTAAAATATAACAATTACAATTTTCAATCTTTTTTAACCTAAAGATCAAGGTTTTCCTCATTATCTCGAATATTAATGAGAATTAAAAAAAAATTACATCTTAAGTACTACCCAGAGTACATTTCCTTACAGAAAAGGTGCTATACCTACTTGATAATCGGAGTAAGTTTTTTGGTAGAAAGTGAACACATAAATAAAAAAAATAAATATCATTGTAAAACCAATATATTCTTCACTAAACTCAGATCTAAAATAC